TCAAAATACATATAATTTAAAAAAATTAAAATGCTAAATAAAATGCTGCCCATAAAAAAAAAAAACAAAACAAAACAAAATAACCAAAAAACAGCTCACAAAAATTACAATACACATATGCACACATGTGTACACATATATACACATATGTACATACATACATCCATCCGTACAAACAACTGTACATATGCATTTCCTTTTGTATTCAACGAGAAATTTCTGTATCAAGAGTGAAATGACAGCAATAATAAAAATTTCAACAACAACAAATCAACAACAAGAACAAAAAACAACTCGGTATCAATTCTTGATGCGGAAATATTGAGGAATAATTTTTGTAGCCGCTGCGCTTTTTTTTCTTAATTTTTTGCTGCTCCTTATTTTATTTTTAAATGTGTACAATATATGCAAACAAACTGTATACATATAATAAAGGCAAAACAAAAAAAAAAGAACAGCAACAAAAAGTAAACACCCAGCACCAATACAGATGCACATAATGAGAAATGCTGCTTTAAGTCCACAAACGTACATACATACATATGTCGCCATAAACATACATACATACCCGTAGCTTAAACAAGCAATAAGAATCGCACACACGTGTGTGTGTGTGTGCGTCTCGCACTTGTCTGCATGTGTGTGCGTTATCCGCGAGACCTTGAACTTGAGACTGAATTTCCAAAAAGCGCACAAGCACACAACACACTCACACACACACAGACTGAGGCAAACAAATGCGCCCAGCGACGGCAGCGGCAGAGGCAGCGGCGACGACGACGACTCACAAACACAAGAACAAAAGAAACAACAACAGAAAATGCCGACAGCGGCTTTTATTCTTTGTACCCATACACAAGCAGTGTGAAAGACTCACACACAGCGCCGTAGCAGAGGCATGAAAGCCAAAATAAGCCAGCCAAAGCAGCAGCAGTAGCAGCAGCAACAACAATGCACACGCTGAACAGGAATTTGCGGAGAGTGCGAGAGGAAGAGAGCGAAAGAGTGTGTCGCATATGGGAGAGGCGGCAGTCAGAACTGCGAACGGAAAGTGGGAATGAACTGGGAACTGAGTTCGCTGACGGAAGCAGTCCCATGATGGGAATACGGGAATGGGCGAATGGGGAAGAGAGCAACAACAACAACTTCTACATTAGTATGTATGAATGTACAGCTGAATGTATGTATGTATGTATGTATGCACATGTACAATAGCCAAACAAACACATAAATTATAATATTTAAATATAGAACTTTTGAGTTGTTGTCGTCGTTGTCGCTGTCGCTGTTGCTGCTCTTGTTGCTGCTCTTGTTGTTGTTGTTGCTGCTGTTGCTTTCTTTTGTCTGTTTTGCTGTTGTCCGCATATTACTTTTGGTTAATCGGTCGTCAGCGCCGCATTTGTTGCTGTTACTCTCATTGTTATTGTTGTTGCCACACTCAAATTGCTTTCGCTGTGAAACACACACACGCACACACACATGCACATTGCACACACATTTTTGGCTGCTTTTTATTATCGTTAGCTTTGTTTTTGGCAGTGCAATAAAGTATCATTTTATCTATTTCTTGTCATGCATGATATGTATACACATACATATACATACACATATATATGTTTGTAGTTCCAGCCCAGACTTCAACAAACATGACCAAAAACTTTTCAGCTGCCAACAGTTTCCGCTTCTCTTCAGTTAGTTAAGCTTAAATCAAACTCCATTTTATTTCCCTAACACATCTGAACTCAGCTTAAATCTCATAAATATCTTGTTAACGAAAAGAAAAAATCCCCGCCAACACCCACAGCTCAAACTTAAATACAAAATAGGCCAATACCGCAATGAGACAACATACACACACACACACACAAATCGAACAGTTGTTGTTGTAGCAATTGTCAGGCACAGCGAGCTGCTTCCTCGGAAATGGCCAGAAACTGTAAACAAAACACTTTTGTACACAAACAAAACACTTTTGGCATGCTCGACGCTGCAATACCCTGCAATCGCTTGCTTGTCGTAGGCTTCGTCGCAGCGAGAAGCCTTTGCCACAGTTTGTTTATACATATATTTAATGCGTGTACATTAAAAACAACTAATCATGGCAACAGCAACAACAACAAGAGCAACAACAACAACAGGTACGCTGCATACCTACATTGACCTACTATTCGCAAATGCTGCGGCTCCATTGTGACTGTGAATTGTGAATTGTGATGTAACTGTCCCAAAACGCCGCGCACATATCAACGAGGCAGTTCAAGTCCAAATTCGGGCAGGGAAATATAATAATATAATGCCAATAGGCAAAAACCAAAAAAAAAAAAAAAAAGAGTACATATGTATGTGGAGCTCTGCACATGACTCTATCGTTAATTGCACACACACACGCACGCACACACACCTGTACAGCTCCAGCTCATGTTGGCCAATTGTTGTTTTCTCACAATATATTAAATTGTTTGGCTTTATTTTTGTTTTTAATAGACCGCATTTTTAGAGGTCAGCGCGCATTTGGCGCACCATTGCAATGCGTAATGCGCGCGCCTCTCTATGTGTGTGTGTGTGTCTATGTGTGTGTGTGTGTGTGTGTGTAAGTGTGTAAATGGGCGTATCGGTGCGTTTTATAAGAGCCTCTTTGTGCACCATTCAAATGGGTTTGCCAATTTCGTTACAGTTTGTCTGCGTTTTGTGTGTCACCGTGCGTATGCGTAATCTTTGCTGCACATTACACATACGCCAGGTGTGCCAGGTGCGCGTCTGCCTGTAGCAAAAGCAATAGAATAAACACAATTCCACTCTTTCTGCATCTCTAAATGTCGCCGAGACATGCAACTATATTGCTTGTGCACACAATTTGACATTACGTATACGCAACGTCTGCCGCTCGCACAGCTGTGCCACATTACGCATACGCCTTGTTGGCCGCTGCTGCAGCCACTCACGTGGCAGCATTTCCTCTAATACTCCGAAGAAAACAAAAACAACAAATAACAATATCTGCGAAATACATACATATGCAACAACAATTGACAGGCATTTCCGCCCAGAGTTGGGCAAACCAAGTGCCGAAAAATCTAAAAGGAAAATTCTCTAAAAACAAGCAAATTTGTGTGCGTTGCGTCTAATGTTTATAGTTTCCGCCAAAAGAAATAAAAGTTGATTTTCCACTGCGAAAATAAAAAAAAAAAAAACGAAAAACTCAAATTTGTAGCCGGAGCAGTTGGCGGGCTGTTGCAGGGCAGGTTGGAAACAGCGTGTTGCAGGCCACAGCTGATTTAGCTGCTTGCCCGCAATTTCCGTCACGACTTGGCAGAGACACACACACACACACACACACACAACACAAACGGGTCGTTCGAATGTCTGGTTTATGTGTAAATACAAATGTATGTAAATGTGCCATATTTTTACAGCAGCTTTTGAGTATATATGCAAACATATGAAACATATCAATATATCATATGCATAAATACATATATATATTTTTATTTTTTACATGCTTCTCATTCACCCACAACACGGCGAATGGGCGAGCAAATGCACGAAATGAAACGAGCGGCAATTAAAACGAGACGGGGCAGCGAATTGTCTGTAAGCTTGTATGTCTGTATGTGTGTATGCATATGATTGACTGTGTGCAGGTATTTAAAAAGCTGTAAAAAAAAGCGCACACACTCACAAACGTGGCGCGTACAACATGCAATAATGCAGCCAGCAAAGCATAAATTGTAAACTCGTCGCCGCTGCCAGCAACAGCAACAACAGCAAAAGCAAAGCCAAAAGCAACAAAAACAACTACAACGCCGACAAGCCTTGACCTGATTTCTCTTCCTCTCTTGCTGCCAACTGTATGCGTGTACGTGTATGTGTGTGTGTGTGTGTGTGCGCGCACGCTTGCATGCAAGCTTTATTGCTGCTGCCGCTGCTGTTGTTGTTGTTGCTGCTGCCTTTTAGTTTGCCTGCAGACTGCACTTGTGCGAGCGAGACAACTGTATGCGCTGGCCAACTGCATAAGTATTTGTGTGTTGTGTGTGAACAGCTTGACATTCAATGCAATTTTTGTTGTTGTTTCTGCTGCTGCTGCTGCTTCTTCTTCTTCGTCGTCTTCTTCCACATGCAGCAGCAGCCGCTGCGGCGTTTCGCATAAAATAAGTGAAAATGCACTTTTACTTTTCAGCAACAACAAAAATTGCAAAAAGCAAAAAAAAATAAATTTCAAAAGAAAACAACAACAACAAAAACACAACTTGTGCATTTTTCTTGCGTTGCACCTCAATGCACAACAACAAGAAAAACAACAACAACAACAACAGAAACAGCAGCAGCAGCCAGCTAAAGAAAGTGAGATGCAATTTTTTGTTTCATTTTTTTTTTTTGGCTGTTGTTATTTTTCGTTGCCTTTGCTGCTTCTCTCACTTTGCATTTCTTTTGTCATTGTTTTTAACGGTTGTTGTTGTTGCTTTGAGTTCATGGCTCGCCGAATTGGGGCATTTCAATTTTGTCTCTGTGTGTGTGTGCGTGTGTGTGTTTTGCTCGCATATTTCTAGCCTCTTGGCGACTTTTGCATGTCGCTCAACTTGCTAACAACAATGACAACAACAACAACAACAACTATTTTGTATAATTATGTATATTGCGAATTATTTAAGTATTATTAGCTTTGCATTTCATGTGAGCTTGGACATTTTGACAGGTCTCGGTTACGCGCAGAGGGCGGCACTCGAATAGCTTGTAGATTGTTGTTGTTGTTGTTGAGGCTGATGAGATAAAGTTGTTTTTTAATTGGGTCGCAACAGTTGGCAGAGATTATGAAGTAGTTCGAGTGTTGGACAGCTATTTAGCAAAACGTATCAAGTGACCAGCGAAGCCATGAAATAAAATAATTAAGCTTCACACTTGCAAATCTCTTAAACTGACAATCTAAAAAAAAAACAAAATATATATGCACTTTTATAAAATGCTGCATAAAAGCACAATTAATTTGCCTCTTTGTTTTGCAGATACTGAAATTCCTATTGTCAAACAATCAACCAGTCCGTCACCTCATCAGCAGCAGCAACAACACCAACACCAGCAACAACAACAACAACAACAGCAACAACACCTGCAGCAGACACAACAGCAACAACAACAACAACAGCAGCAGCAGCAACAGCAAGCTTTCGGCAGTGCAACAACATTGTTGCACATCAAGACCGAGCAGAATGCGCTCTTAACACCGTTGCAGCAGAGTCAGCAACAACAACAACAACAGCACAGCTTACAGGCCAACAACAATGCGCATCAGCAACAGCAGCAGCAGCAACCTTTGGCCATACCGCATCGGCCATTGCTGCACAATCTGCTCAGCGGCGGCGCAATCCACAATCCACATCACAGAAATTACACGACGGCCACAACAGGTGAGTGCGAAACAGCTTGCCAGCAAGGTGAACCACAGTGCACACGCCCTTTGTTGAGCGACATGCCCCAAACACTAAAAATACAAAAAAAAAAGCGCATTGGCAACTTGTTAATCTTGACCCATTCACTGCATGCACAGGTTCGTTTCCGCCCAGTCCGGCGGATAGCGGTGTGTCCGACGTGGACAGCTCCAGTTCCGGCGGCCAGCCATGCGCCGACGAGTTGAAGGCGCGCCTGGGCATGCCCACAACGGCAGCAACATCGGCGTCAGCAGCTGCAGCTGCCGCAGCGGCCACCCACTCAGCAGCGGCAGCGGCCGCAGCAGCGGCAGCAGCAGCGGCGCACCTGCATACGGGCACATTTCTGCATCCGAATTTATATCAGAACAATGCGGCGAATTCGTTGCGGAATATATGGAATCGCAGTGTTGGGGGTGAGTATATCAAGTATTCACAGATACACATGAATATGCAATACATATGTGTGTATGAATGTATATGTGTGCAGTAAAAGTTCAGCAATCGAAAAATGGCAGGCTCATACATATGTACATGTGCATATATATACATTTGTATATATGTACACACACACACACATAAACGACACAATCAATTGCAATAAGAATGTGTTGCACTCGCTGCTTTTATGCTTTTCGCCTCGCTTTGTGTCTGTGTGTGTCTGTATGTGTGCTCGTCGCTGTGTAAAATCTGTGGTCATCGACACATTGCCTTTGCGCAAATTGTGAAGGTCACAACGACAACGACAACAGCAGCGACAGCGACAGCGACAGAGCCAATGTGGCAATGCTGGCGCTGTGAGCTTCTCCCGTTTTGTGCGCTCCCTCCCTGTCCCTCTCTCGCTCTGTCTCCCTCTCCTGCTCTGAGCACGAGTACGAATGCGAGCGCCAACACCAACGCTAATGCAACAATGCGATGGTGAAGACACGAGCGAAAAACGAACGAAAGCGTACGTTGCTCTCTTCGCTGCTGCTGCTGCTGCTGTTGTTGGTGTTGGTGAGCGAATACTTTTGATTTTATTCAACGGCGCTCAGTCATTTGCTCAGCTAGTCCACCCCTCCCCCCAAATCCATGCACCTCTCGTCGGGCAACTGACTGTTGAATTGGGCAACGGCAGCGCCGTTGACGCCGGATGTAAAACAAAACTTACTAAATAGCATACAAAATTACACACGTACATACATACAAGCATACATACATACATATGTAGCCGTGTGCACTGTGAAATAGTTAGGCAGCAGGCGGACAGCGCTGCGCACAGTGGGTCGCATTAGCTGCAAAATGAACTGAATTATTGCGCCAAGTAATGTTTATATATGTACATATGTATGTATGTATTTGGATTACTTTGCTATTTACAGAATTCATTAACTCACATTAATTTTAGTTAATCTGGCAACTATGCAATCATATTTAACACTTTTGCCACTCTCTCTCTCTCTATTTCTTTCTTCTCTACAGTGCCCGACAACTACTATGGCAACAGTGGCTCCAGCGGTGGCGGAGGCGTTAATCCTGGCACGCCCGGCGCGCCCAGCTATCTGTCAACGTCCTACTTCAATGCGCCAGCGGCTGCGTCGTCCCAGCGTAACGCATCTGCCAACGGCTTTGGCACACATCAGCATCATTCCCTGCAACATCAGCAGCAGCAGCAACAGCAGGCGCAGCACGCGCCGCAACAGCAGCAACAATTGTCACATCACCAGCAGCAGCAACAGCTGCATCATCAGCAGCAACAGCAGCAGCAGCAGCAGCAACAACAACAACAGCACCCTCAGTCACAGCTGGCAGCAGCGCAGCTGGCGTCAACGCACCCCCACCAGCTGCATAGTACACCACAGCACACGCATTCCACAATTGCCAATGCTGCGGCAGCGGCAGCGGCGGCGGCGGCGGCATCGGTCGTGAGCAGCAGCAGCGCCGTCGCAGCGGCCGCAATGCTCAGCGCCGGCGGCACGCAGAGCGTCATACAGCAGCCGGCGACGTCGAGCGTCAACTATGATCTCTCTTATATGCTGGAGCTGGGCGGGTTTCAGCAGCGCAAGGCGAAAAAGCCGCGCAAACCGAAGCTGGAGATGGGCGTGAAGCGGCGCAGTCGCGAAGGCTCCACCACCTACCTGTGGGAGTTTCTTCTGAAGCTGCTGCAGGATCGCGAATACTGTCCGCGCTTCATCAAGTGGACGAACCGTGAAAAGGGCGTCTTCAAGCTGGTCGATTCCAAAGCCGTCTCCCGCCTCTGGGGCATGCACAAGAACAAGCCGGACATGAACTACGAGACGATGGGCCGCGCCCTGCGCTACTATTACCAGCGCGGCATATTGGCCAAGGTGGACGGTCAGCGGCTGGTCTATCAGTTTGTCGATGTGCCCAAGGACATAGTTGAGATCGATTGCAATGGCGTCTGAGCGCGCGAGTGCAAGCGAGAGAGAGCATGTAAATAGACGTAAACCTTACCGAAACGGTGGCAATAGAATGGGAGCTGAACCGGCTAGCGGCAATAGTAGAAATATACATATAAAGCAGAGAGAGAGAGAAAGAGCGAGGAAGAGCAGAAGCATCCAAACTACATATATGCATGCATACACACGCGCATATGTATGTGTGTGGTAAGCTACATTTAATTGTTTCGATCAATGCGAGGTGGGTTTTTTTGTACATGTTGAGTTTTTGTTAGGTCTAAGAGAGGACACATCAGATTTAAGCGCGGAAGAGAGTATAAATTACATAGCTGCTAGGCCTATGCATATATGTATACACATATACATATATATGCATAATGTATATATACATAGTAAATAATTATTATGTATACAGAGAAGCAAACATGCTAAAAAAGTAAAATTCTGTAGTAATTAATGATCTATTCATTGGCTTTAGTGTTTTAACTGTAACATTTAATTATTATTACAATGCATATTGTTATTATTATTGATTATTATTATTATTATATTATTATTATTATTGATTGATTGATTGATTATCGATGAAGAGTTCTTATTGATATTTGATATGTGTATGTATGTGAAAACTTATAGCTACGAATTACTGTATACACCTACAACAAAGCCTAGCCTAATATATCTAATAACCCTACACCCTAACCCTACCACTCCCCCCTAACTATACCCGCTTCTCCCCTCTAGCCCAAGCACCCTACGGTTACATACACATACACTACCAGACGTAGCATACGAGTTCTACAAAAGTAGTTTAAAGAGAAATAACTGTATTTGTGTGCGTTTTCGGGCTCATTGTTTTTGTTGCTTATTTTATTAAGGAGATGAGAAATATTTCATAGTTTTAATTAGGTTTATGCCTATCGATAGTTTATTTATTTAAGTGTTTCTTCTACATTATACCTATATACCATACCCTGCCCAATATCCTAACTGGAGCCACAGTACACACCCGTTCACGGCAACGCGCCCAACAAATGTTGTAGCTTGTGGTCAACAACTTTCTTGTAATTATTAACTTGTAAGTTTTGTATATTTAAAGAACAGAAAACAAACAAACAAACACACACACACACACACAACAAACAAAAGGAGCAGCAGAGCAACTAATTCTGTGTTTGGTTCACTTTGCGGAGCTGCACTGTACAAGTACCGTTCAAAAGAACCAGCTCCGCAAAAACGAACCACAAAGCATGCTAAGCAGTTATAAAAAGAAAACTCTGAAAAAATAACCATTCTTTACGAAATCAACTTGAAATACAAAACAAACAACTTTTGGTCTGAAGTTTATGTCTGAAATATATTTGTTAACGCTTTTTGTTACGTCACACTGCCACAACTCAACCAATATACAAAAAACAGTTCCAAGTTCTGCAAATGCAACGGAAACTTTCAATGCAACACACACACAGACACAGACACACACACAGACACACACACACACGTACACCAACAATTTCCAAACACTGCCCAAACGTGCAATCTCTTAAATGCATAAACTAAACTAAAGTTAAACTAAAGCAAAAGTAGAAGAAAGTTAAAAGATACCAACAAACTCCTAGTTCTATTCTATTCAATATTTCTTTTATACTTATGTAGTTGCGTTCTTCTAAGTACCTTTATCATTATCTATTATCTATTATTATTATTATCTATTATTATTATGTGTATGTCAAGAGCAACAGAATGAAAGAGTTTACGTTTTTCGATTTTTGTTCAATGATTCAAAGAATGATAATGATATATATGATGATGATGATGATGATGATGATGATAATAAACGGAAGTGAGTTTTGAGTTTAACTCTGTTCATTGTAAACATTTTTTATGATTATTTTTTATTTTTTATTATTAAAATAAAATTATTATTTCAATATGCATGCGTTTTATTTTATTCGAAAAATCGATAAATCGATAACAAAAGCGATAAATCGATCAAAACAAAAACAAAAGATCTTCGATCCGAAAAAAAAACATACAAATATTTGCAACCCGTTACAAATTTGAAATCTACATATACCTCCCATTTAAAGTGCATATAAGACATAAGTTATGAAACAATTATATATATATTCAAAGTCTATACAATACCATATTTATTCTACGGAGCAGATTGAATATTTTAGATAAATTTAGACGATGCATTTTATAGCTTAAGCCAGACATTTTCATGTAGTATGTGCTTGGGCCATATGTCTATTAGAGATGAGGACTCAGTTTTTGAGGTTTCGAGCATGAGATCGGGAGCAGCAAGTGCGTTTATATGTCTATCTAAATATATATACTTATTATAGGGTTTAAGATTACGCATAACATAACGTGAATCGACATAATTCTTAAACATATTTTCATGCTATACGTATGATCAAGTTTGAACAATTTACACATAGAACAATCGAACAGTACGAAAACAAAGATAAATGTACGCAAGTGCAACGAAAATCGGAAAATCGGACAGATTAGCCGATAATTAAAATAGTAAAAACAGCTTTACAACTCGAAGCCACAGCAAAAGGGTTTTATTTGAAGAATTTCTCCGGTTTTTGTATTCTCTTTTATTTAATTGTAACTTTTTTAAGGAAATAGCATCGAAATATTATGTTTTGCTTTATATTGCAAGGGTTCAAAATCGGAGATCAAAAACAAATCTATTGTGCACTGTAATTGTATATAATCAACTTCTGGACCTCATGTTTCACTTATTAGTCGTAGTTCTATAATTACGTATTAATATATATATATACAACAATTATAAAGAATGTGTGTATTTGTTAAATTGGATCGGAATTAACAAAGAACAAAACACATGCTGGATAAGACCAACTAAATTAAAGATTAGATTTCAAGAAGAAGATCTGAAGGATCTGTAGCAGAACTAAGGCAAATACTTACTTTATTGGTACTTAAATGAAAGAGGACAACGTGTGGAATTAGATTTAAGATCGAGTGAGCTAATTTATGAAGTTTGATATTGAATGCAATTCATTTTGGATTATCGGGAATCGGGAATCGGGAATGGTCTCCATTAGCTAGTTGAAACGAGAGTTGGGTTGGAAACGGTTTTAGCGAATCTGTTGAAAAGATAATATGTAGTTTATATATATATATATATGGTATATACCCAATCATATGTGCATCTATATTTAAGCACTATGCTACACAATTTAAGTTTCATTTATGTATGTATATTCTTCAGGCGAATCAAAAAAACGTCTGCATTAAAATCAGCAAATGCGAGCCACAAATTAGTAATTAGATCGGAAAAAGAGCGAAACATGAGATATGTAGATGACTTTATGGGTCAACAATTAATTTTAACAACTAAAATAAAAAAACAGATGACGAAAATGAAATGGAAATCTGATGGAAATAGCATAATTATTTACTGTTATGGAAACGTTAGAGTTTTAAGATTTTTAGCTAAATTTTGTATATTTTAATCTACAGATTGCTATAAAAAATATATATACATACTTATATATTATCTGTTTTATAAATAACATAAATAAATGAGACTAAAAAACAACTTGCACTTATTATCTTAAGTATTTGTTAATATGATAACTTTGTCAAACAAGTTTACAATTGCGGAACACGTTATGGCGTATTCAAGTCAAAAAGCTAGCTGCTATGACACCTTTCTTTAACATGCGCACCACGTACGACCTCTGCTAATGTTAAACTGGCACTGTTATTCATATGTTATGTGAGCGCTCATGGTACGCTGCTATGGCTCTTTTATTATTCCATTAAAAAACTAAATTTTATGCAGATAAAGTAAGTTGTTGATACTTCTTTAATTTCGTTTTAATTATAATTATTTGAAGTTTTAAAATTCGAGGGGTGCATTTAACAGTGTATATCGGTAGTGAAAATACCACCACAATATCGCGCATCGTGACCAGCATGGCCGATATTTTAGCATAGCGATATAAATGGTATCGATATGCGAATGCGATTGCGACGGCCATACTGTAAATACATATACACATACATACATTTTTTTCTTTTTGTGTCATTGTGCGTTCCAAAACCAAAATCACATTTTTGCGATGCATTTGCATTGCAAATTATAGAACAAAAATGAGGTGTTTTTGTGTGGCGAAAAGGCAATAACAACAATGATAACAATGAATTGATGTACAAGTTGCATAACGAACGTCGTCGGGCTCGTCTATGTATGTCCGTCGCTGAGCAGTCGCAATTTCCAGAAAACCACACACACACACATACACGCTTACACACTAGCGCACACTCAACGCCATCAAAACAGCAGAAAAAGCAGATTTTGAATGGCGTAAAAAGTGTGAAAACTACACAAATAACTAAACAAATCGAAATCGAGTGTGCATTTTGCTACTTTCCATAGCAAATGTGTTGTGGCAGCCGCAGCAGACGCGCAGCATTAGCAGCAGCAGCAGCCCAGCCAGCGTCAGCCACCTTTCCCTCCTACACCACGCCACAAGCCAGTACAATACCAATACAAACGCATTTGCTGCTACGGCCGACAAAGAAAAACGAGACTCTGCTTGTGCTTCTTCTTCTCAATCGTACAGTTCCTACGACGACAACAACAATATTTGACTCAGCTGCCAAGCCAAAACATCTATTGAAATTAATTCAAATTGCTGTAAAACTGTGCGTGTTGTGTTGCCTCTTCAATTCGCAACGAGTAAACGGCTTGCATGTGTATTTAACAAATCGCAAACCATCCCAAGAAGAAGTAGCCGAAGAAGAAGAAGACGAAGTCAACGCGTGTGTGTCTGTTTGTGCGTGTGAGCCATGAGTCTGTTGGCAACGCCCGCGGGCGTCCCGAACGCTGCCGCTCTCTCAACTGCAACGGGCAGCGTCGCCGCCAGCGGCAGCAGCAGCAGCAGCAACAACAACAACAATAACAGTAATAACAACAATTTACCGTTTGAGAAGGATAAAATCTGGTACTTCAGCAACGAGCAGCTGGGCAACTCGCCCAGTCGCCGCTGCGGCATCAAGTGCGACGATGAGCTGCACTACAGACAAATGACGGCGTATTTGATACAGGAGATGGGCCAGCGGCTGCAGGTGTCGCAGCTGTGCATCAATACGGCAATTGTTTACATGCATCGATTCTATGCGTTCCACTCGTTCACACATTTCCATCGCAATTCCATGGCCTCGGCCAGCCTGTTCCTGGCCGCCAAGGTGGAGGAGCAGCCGCGCAAGCTGGAGCACGTGATTAGAGCGGCCAACAAGTGCCTGCCACAGACAACCGAACAGACCTATGCTGATCTCGCCCAGGAGCTCGTCTTCAATGAGAACGTGCTGCTGCAGACGCTCGGCTTCGACGTGGCCATCGATCATCCGCACACGCATGTGGTGCGCACGTGCCAGCTGGTCAAAGGTAGGCACCATGCTCTAAAACAAAATATATCCCAAAAAATACAAATGCCATTTAAATGCAATGGCTGCGTGCCAATTAGAGCAATTGTGAATTGATAACACTGTGATATATTTTAGCATGCAAGGATCTGGCGCAAACCTCCTACTTCTTGGCCTCAAACAGGTATGGCTAATACAGCTAACGGTATCCCAGATACTGATACTGGCATACTCCACCAAGCGTATGGTATAAACGGGCTTGTGTTTGTTCGTGTGCGTGTGCGTATGTGTGTGTGTGGGCCCGCTTAATGCAACCTCTGGGTACAGCTACTACACAAAAGAGTCAAAAATCATTTAGGTCATTTGTGCGCGCGTCCCTTTTGACAGCTTTACCTGTGCTAAGGTCATTAAATGCTGTTCCCTGAGCAAATTATCCAGCTAACAGTTGACCTTCTTATGACACCTTTCCTTACTTACTTACGATTTTGTATACCCTTGCAGATGGTTTTACACGAGATGCGTAGCACATTGTGGAGGACATCTCTTACCCTATAAAGTATATAGATATATATGATTGGTATGATGAGCTTGGTTTGCCTTGTCCGTCTGCACATCTGTTTCCTTTCCAATTCTATTATTTCGGTTTTTAATCTATATTAATGTATCCGCATATTTGCTATAGACAGCACATATATATGTCGAATTTGGCCCGATCGGAGCTCAGTATCATATTAATTGCTCGAGTTTTTGTTTGTTTTATACAAACTTAACAATTATGAGCGGTACTATGCTCCAAGCAAGTCGTATTTAAATCGATCTACTATAGCTTATAGCTCTCATGGGGAACATTAGATATTGATATGCATATTCCACACATCCGCTATGTATTTGCAAGGGTATTTCGACTTCGGCACGCCGAAGTTAACTTTTCTTGTACCTGTATTTGTTACATGTCTTAAAAAGTTCATAAATTGTGATCATATTTGAATGATAATCCACAACTTGTGTATGATTATTATGAAAGCGATTTAATGTTTCTTTTAATCGCCAAGCAACCTTTGACATACTTATTGCGAGCAAATATTGAGTATCCTTTAATAAAAGAAATACTTATCATATCATCAAAACCCACAATTCTGGTTTTTTGTGCTTGGGAATATGCGATTTTAAAGTTTCCAAATTATACTTTAGTAAGGGCATTTAAAATACTTGGTTTTTAAGAATTTTTAGATAGAAAATATAATATATAAGAATATCATATAGTTAAAGAATATGGCCTCTGCTAAAACGAATACTATATCATGACTAGTCAGGAGCTTGAACCCGGTTCCCCGTTCCGTTGCTTGAGCGGACTGCAATATTCGCATCTCATTTCTGAAATTGGAAGCGGATGTTTTTTACAAATTTGTACTACCAACAAATCGTTTGGACTGCTCCCAAATATGCCAGCATATACATATACACACGCACACACATGCATATGATCGCCAAAAATATGATAGCATTCGAAATACTCTTCTGCAAACAATTATTTAAATGCACGCTTTGTCCTTGTTCGAAACTGTTAGCCTGCATCTGACCTCGATGTGCCTGCAATATCGACCCACTGTGGTTGCCTGCTTCTGCATTTATTTGGCCTGCAAATGGTCGCGCTGGGAGATACCACAATCGACTGAGGGCAAGCACTGGTTCTACTATGTGGACAAGAGCGTTTCGCTGGAGCTGCTCAAGCAGCTGACGGATGAGTTCATTGCCATCTACGAGAAGAGTCCGGCCCGGCTCAAGTCGAAGCTCAACTCGATCAAGGCAATTGCACAGGGCGCCAGCAATCGCACGGCCACCAACAGCAAGGACAACAAGCCTAAAGAAGACTGGAAGATGAGCGAGATGATGAAGGGCTATCACTCCAACATCACGGCGCCGCCGGAGCTAATGAATGGCAGCGACAGCCGCGACTCATCGCAGTCGGCCCTGCTGCCGCCGCCGAGCATGGTGCCGTCGCAGCAGAGGCGTAGCGATGGTAGCCATCAGCGTTCGTCATCGGTGGGCGGTGCTCCAGGTAACTCGTCCTCTTCTACCTCCTCCTCATCGAATCACAAGTTGCCAAATTATCCAGGCGCCCTGCCGCCCGAGGCACACGGAGGTATGTTATGCAATACGAGGCAACAGCTTGTGGCATTCCCTAATGATGTGTACCCCTGTTTTAGATCACAAATCGAAGCAACCCGGCTACAGTAGTCGTGCGCCCTCCGGCCATCAGTCGAGCTCCTCATCATCGGCGCAGCGTGGCAGCACCGGCGGCTCGTCGACGGGCAGCGGTCAACGCAGCTCGTCGAGCCAACCGTCTGGACGACTACCCATGCCCATGGACTATCACAAATCCTCTCGTGGCATGCCGCCCGTAGGCATGCAACCCCATGGCGGCCACAAGATGTCGACCAGTTCCAAGCCGCAGCAGCAACCGCCGCCGCTCTTGGACAGTCGCAGCAGCTCATCCGCCTCAAGTGCATCGTCTGCAGCGGGCGTTTCCTCCAAAGATGTCAGCAAGTCGGGCAGCAGTAAAATGTATCCTAATGCGCCGCCGTCCTACAGCAACAGCGGACCCAGCAATCCGCTCATGTCCCGGGGCGGTTACCAGAGCAGCAGCAGCGCAGCAGGTGTTGGCAACAATGGTGCGCTGCCGCCGCCGCCCGCTGGCTATGGCAGCCATGGCTCGCATCGCAATAAATCCGTCTCGTCATCAAGCTCATCGTCATCCGTCCACAGCATGCCGCCGTATGAGCAGCAGCTGCCCTATGGCCAGAGCCAGGCAGTGCCCAACTACAATCATATGCAGCAGCAGCTGCCGCCGCTGGATGCGGGCGCCACGTCAATGTCGCAGCAGCCGCAGCAGCAGCAGCAGCTTGGCAAGAACAATTCGCTGTTCAGTCCGGAGTGGAGCGACATCAAGAAGGAGACGCAATTCAATGGACTGCTGCCACCGCCGCCGCCAGGACCTGCCCACGACAGTCTAGGCTTCAAGCTGAACAGTCATGCGCGAGACCGCGACAGCCCCAAGAAGGATCGCCTGACGCCCACCAAAAAGGACAAGCATCGCAACACGCTGCCACACGGCAGCGGCTCGAGCAGCACTGCGAAGCCCATGCTGCCGCCGCACAAGAAGCCCCATGGGGAGCTGCTGCCCAGCGAGCTGGCGGGCCCAAGTCGCGATGTGGGCAATCTGAAGCGCGCCAACGAGATGTCTGGCAGCCAATACGGACTCAACAAGCTGGACGAGCACGACGGCAGCTTGCCGCGCGACAAGCTGCGCAAGCTGGACAGCAGTGTCGGGCTGCCGGGCTATCCCAGCTATGAGGACAAGCATGCGCCGCTGTCGATGTCGAACGGTGGCATTGAGACAACGCCCGATCTGGTGCGCACGCTGCTCAAGGAGAGCCTGTGCACAACAAATGGCTCGCTGCTGAAGCCGGATTCGCTGACTATGCCCGGACTGAAGCCGCCGGCCGAACTCTTGGAGCCGATGCCGCCGACCACTCAGCTGCACATGAAGAAGGATTCGCTGGCTGCGCCCACAAATCTGATGACCAACAATTTGTCTGCGGCACCTGCCATGGAGCTCGATGCTCTGACCAAGCTGGGCGATGCCAAGGAACTGGAGGCGGCCGGCAAGTCCGAGAAGAAAAAGAAGAAGGACAAGCACAAACACAAGGAGAAGGACAAGTCAAAGGACAAGCCGGACAAGGAGGAGCGCAAGAAACACAAAAAGGACAAGCAAAAGGAGCGCAGCAGCAAGGACACATCCATGGACTCGCTCAAATTGGTCATCAAGACGAACACGGCCACCGCCAATCCCAACGGCAGTCTCCAAGTGGGCACCGCTGCGCCGCTCAAACTCAAGATCAGCAAGAACAAGGTGGAGCCGAATAACTATTCCTCCGCCGCCGGGCTATTGCCGATACCAACAGCGCCTGGCTTTGGCATGGCACCGCCTGCGCCGGGCACAGCTCCTCCAGCAGGCGTACCTGCCGGTGGCCAGCAGCAGCAGCAGCCGCCGCCGCCCGTTTTGCCCGGCTATGGGGGCTACAACAGCTCGTCGAACAGCACGAGCAGCAGCAGCAGCAGCAGTAGCAAAAAGAAGCACAGCGATCGGGATCGCGACAAGGAGAGCAAGAAGAGCAAAACTCAAGACTATGCCAAGTACAATGGAGTCTCTGGCGGCGGCGTTTATGCGCCTCTAGGCGGTGCTGGCGCCGCGTCCAGCACGCAGGCGTCAGTCGCCAGCCTGCTGGGTCTGCCGCCGAGCATGACGACCGCGTCGTCAACGGCCAACTCCTCCTCCTCCTCCTCCTCGATGGTGATGGCGCCCACAAGTGTTGCCGCCGGCCTTGTACCCTCTGCGCTGCCCATCTACAACAAGAAGTAGTCGTAGTCAACGTAGTCGCCAGCCCGCAGCGCCCGAGTCCCAGGAGTCCTTGTTCGCTGCAGTTAACCACGTCGTTTTTTTTTCAACAACCCACAAGTTTACAACCTTTGATATAGTTTGTATGTAATTGTAACCTATTAAGCATACGGTAGTCGTAATTGTTGGTGAGATGCATTAGTTGGCTAAGTTATTATCGGAACCATTTTAGTTAAGCGCAAACCCCGCTACCAACTACCAACATCGCCGATCCCGATCCGGGTCCGGGTCCGGGTAGTTGTGTCCCAGCATCTAATGATAATCAAGTAACTCGAAGACAAGCAAAACTTCAAAAACTTTTGTACAGCATTAATTAATTTGTAATTATAACACACACACACACACGTACACACCTATAGACCTACACATACAGAGCATAATTGTAAAAGGATTATATTGTGAAAGCAACTCCTTTCGATTGCAGGAACAGCTCATATATAGCTGAGCAGCACGGCCGTTTAGTATATAAGTTAGTAAATCAAATACCCATACAAGTGCACACACACACACACATACCGACACACCTACACACCTACACACACACACACACACTCATTCAACTGTTGTATATAGCCACCAGAGAAACAATTTCCGCTTAGCTAAAAATACGGCCCCTAACTAATGCAAAACAAAAAGAAACGAATCGTAATTTTTGAGAAAAACATTCAATTTAAATCGAGGAGCAAATCAAGTGCCGTGCGCTTTAATTATAAATTAAAGATGCGCGCGTGCGCTGTTAAATAAATAAAAAAAACAAACAAACAAAAAACAATTTAGAAACCACACGTAAACTTATATAAACTAAATACATACAAACACACACACACAAACACATAAATTATTTGAATTAAATAATAGTATGAAAATGAACGCCGTTAAATTGTGTGAAATTAATTTTTAGTTAGCAAAGTTTTTCGTTTTCAGTTATTTTTTATTATTATGATTATTTTCATTTTATTTACAATGAATTCGCATTACTTTTAGTTTTAATGGTTGCAACAAACAACAACAACAGCAGCAGCTAAATAAATGTTTCAATGAAGCAAATATGTTAAAAAAAGAAAAGAAAAGGAAAAGTTGTCTTAACGTAGCTTTCAGTTGTTTTTAATTATTAATTAAATAGCATTAAAGTGAATATGAATAATAAATTGTTGTGCAACACGAAAGCTAAAAAAAAAGAAAAACACAAAACGTGTGCAAAATTAAACGTCGTAACGTTTCGAGCATAAGTAATACATAAAGAAACAAAAACTAAAAGCTATGAAATATATGAAATTAAGCGAAAACAAACAAAACAAACAAAAAATTTACCTATATCAAAGGGCATAACTTATGTAATTTTCGACTAGAGCAAAACACAAAGAAAAACAAATTTAATCAAACGTTGCGCGTTTTCCAACACTATTCGATTTCTAATTATTGCATTAAGCTACCCACAAACAAACAAAACAAAAACAATTAAAAACAAAAACAAAAAACTTTAAGCTATGTACTAACCACACACATACGATATACATACATATTCATATTTGGAAAATCGAAAATGTTATTTAAGTTGCGTGAAATTTCCAAAACCAAAAAACAACAAAAAAAAAAAAGAAAACTTTGCTATTGCTAATCCACAAAAAAAAAAAGCAACAACAGCAGCAAAAGTAATTAGGTATAAAAAAAAAACACGTAATTGTACGCGTAATTTCTATCTCTTAATTTTTTCCCCCCTCTATTTTTTAAGTTTTGTACATAGATGAAAAACAAAAATGGCATTCGGAAAGTGCGCTAATCGCGGGTTTCATTGGAAACGTTTAGCTGTTTCGAATATGAAAACTCGAAAGCGCTGTTCGAAGGTCCGAATAAAAATTTCAAAACCCAAAACAAAAGAACAATAAAAAAAAAACTTGAAAAACATAAAATAAAAAATTAACTGTTGTTTGAGTTTATTGTATAACTTGTCAAGTGTTCATTTTTATTGAAATTAAATTTGATTTGAACCAACGTTTTAGTGGGTAATGGTTCAAACCAATGCCTCGCTCTCAAGGCTATTCAATTTATTATAAATTAAATATAAATATTTTTATTAATTTAAATTTGCAATAATATTTTCAAATAGTACAAAAATATTCCTTTGAGCCAAAACGTTTTCTGAAAATTATCATTCGGTTCAGTTTGAGGCTCTGCTATTTTTGTCCCATAAATCCAGTTGAAAGTTAAGTCTAGCTATTGGCCCCAATGTGCTGCCAAATCCAGTCCAAGTAGCTGGTAACCCGCGTGAAAATGGATGGAAAACCAATCTCGCAGCCCATTGAGAGCCCGAACGAGGTGATGCCAATCAAATAGTTGTTGCTGTCCTCCTTGTAGATGAGCGGGCCGCCGGAGTCGCCTTGGCAAGTGGATCTGCCGCTGCTGGTGCTCATGCAGATCATCTGTTCGGACAGGGAGCCGCCCCAGAACAACTTGCAGCGGCTGTGCGGCATCACGGGCATTGCCACATACCGCAAGGTTGGCGACGTGGAGTTGGAGCTGTCGCTGTCCCGGCCCCAGCCGGATGCATAGGCCGTGGCCTGTTCATAGCTGGAGTAGGAGCCATTCAGACCTCGGGGCAAGTCGGCAGCTCTCACCCGATCGCTGAACTCCACGAAAGTTGGCAGCCTCACGAGAGCTATGTCATTGGCCACGGTGCTGGCTGTCCAATTGGCATGCACTATGATGTGGGATCTCGTCACGTAATAACGCTTCTGGCCCGGCTCGCAACTGTTTGTAACATTAATTGCGCCCAAATAGACCGTGGCACGCTTCGCTCCATCCATGCAGTGGGCAGCCGTGAGAATCCATCGATGCGATACCAGAGTGCCGCCACACCAGGTGCTGGCATTGCCAAATGATACGTTCAAGCCCACCTGGTAGGGAAACTGACCCGCCTCAGCTAGATCCCCGTTCGTAATGCGATGACCGAGATTCCCGATGTCCGCTTGAGCTATATGGAGGGTCAATAATATCGTTACTGCCAATAACAACTGCATCTTTCAAAAACAATCAACAAATTAGTAACTGCATTAAACATTCCCTTTGGTTATATACCGAAAGAAACTGCGTCGCAATTGAATCGAGTGCCTTATCAACAACAACTATTAAGAGCTCAACCCTCAAAAACTAAGAGCCTGCACATGATAAATGAACTGTGCTGTAATCCATTCAGATTGCAACATATAAAAGCAAAAATTGCAGATACTGTAATACTTTTTCATTATGTCAAACGCAGAACAGGTGTCAATTGGAGAAAGTCTTTTAAATATCGCCCTCCTAAGCGATTCTCATGAATTCAAGGCTTGAATTTTCATTCGTTGATAGTAAGTATTAAGTCTCAATCTCTGCGTTTATGCTTAGTCCTTGAATTCTTCCTTTCTCTTCCCCCCCCCTCCCTCCCCCCCTCCCTCTCTCTCTCTCTCTCTCACTTTTTATATCTCTCTCTTATTTATTTATTTCTCCTGCTATTTCATTATATAACTCTCTATTTCTCTGATTTTTTTCAGGAATATGTGTGTTTATATATAGAAGACCAATCCATTTTACCAATTAATTAATAATCATTTAATCTTCCATCTGGATGCGAGTTATGGGGTAAGTGCATGCATTGTTACTACAATAAGGATATTCTTTAAGACAAAGAATGCCCTGGGCATGGGTTATCTACTAGTTCATACCTCAGAAATTCAAGACGATATTAAGGAACTATGGGTTCTAAATCTTGGCAGGAAATTGTATTAAAAAGCATAAATATAAACAACCTTCTCAAAGATATTCTAAAAAGCATTCCAACAGTTAAATAACGATCGAATTTAAAATTTTTTAACGATCAGGCAAACATTAAATATCCTAAAGCTAAAATTGCTCTCAAATATAAAATATTCCTAAAGCTCGTATTCAAATTTCCCCTATATTTCAACTTTTTAAAAACAGCTCTGCTATCGGTAATAAAAAGTCCTTACAACTCCCCTTAAATTTCCCAGCTTAAGAAGGCAAATTTAAATTATGTATAAAGTGAACAATATCCCTTAAGTTCGCCTTTAAATTTCCCCTCAAAAATAGGTTAAGGCCAACTCTGCTATCGATTATAAAATATCCCTACAACACCCCTACAATTTCCCAGAATATCAGGCAAATTTAAACTATATGTATATAAACTGAACTCTGCCATCGAATATCAAATATCCCTTAAGTTCGCCTTTTAATTTCCCACTATCCTAAGAAAGACCCAAACTTCAACTTATTAAAAACAACTCTGCTGTCGTTTATAAAATATCCCTAAAACTTCCCCCTATCTCAAAAAGAAAACCCCAAGCGAGTGTACATTTGTAACGTAAACGACTGTTATGATTTTATTGTTTAATATCAGCAGTTGGAATTGTTGTTTATTTGTTGACCACGCCGCTGTGATCCTCGATCCAGTCCAGGTAGGCGGTGATTCTGGTGAAGACAGCTGGGTAGTTCCTCTCGCAGCCCAGGGACAGGCCGAAGGAGGTGGCGCCAATCAAATAGTTGATGTCGCCGTCCTTGTGGACCAGCGGGCCACCGGAGTCGCCGCTGCAGGTGGACTTGCCGCCCTTGGTGCTCATGCAGATGACCTTGTCGGTGATGAGACCGGCCCAGTACTTGTTGCAGGTGCTCGACTTCATGATGGGCATCTCCACGTAGCGCAGCACGGGAGAGACGGCGTCAGACTTGTCGCTATCGAGACCCCAGCCGGAGGCGTACGCCTGCTGATCCTCGTAGGTCGAGTAGCGGCCATCCTTCTTGGGCAGCGTGGCGGCACGGACGCGCTCATCGAAGTCCAGCTCGGCGGGCAGCTTGATCAGCGAAATGTCGTTGACGATCTTGGTGGCATCCCAATCCTCGTGCACAATAATGCCGTTCTTCTCCACATGGATGCGCTGCTGTCCGGGCTCCTCCTCCTTGATTTTGGTGGCACCAACGAACACGGTCACCGAATCGGCAGAGTCCGTGCAATGGGCAGCCGTTACGATCCAACGGTTGGAGATCAAGGTGCCGCCGCACCAGGCGCCCGAGTTGCCGATAGCAATGCTCAATCCCACCTGGTAGGGGAACTGGCCCTCGTGGGCCACCTCGCCGTGCGTGATGCGGCCATCCATGGGCGCTGCCACCGCGGTGGCCAGCAGAGCAGCGAATGCAACAAACAACTTCATGATCCGTATCAGGGGAACTTTCTGACTCGTTCCACGGCGAATCTATCATTTTTATAGCCAGCCCCTCCAATCACTCGCCCACGTCAACGCAGCCGGAGCAATATCTTATCGGAGTATCTCCCGAGACGGACCCTCGAGAAGGGGACAGATAAGGGGCGCGTGCGCATTTTACGTGTCCTGAAATATGAACTCTTCAGAGATCTCTTATTAAACTGATTAGATTCGATATTTTCGCTAGAAAATCAATCAAATTAATTGAACAAATAATTGGCAGCCGAGTATTCTTGTTATTATCAACAACAGTGCCGAGATTTCAGTAAACTAATCGCGAGCAGGCGAATCAATGGACAACTTTTAAGACCATCCACATTGGGACTGGGTTATACCATAATTTTACTCCGTCTGAAGTGCTCTGGAACCCATTCACAAAGCTCTTCAGACAGCGACTGCTTCACTTCCTCTTCACTACGTGCGACAGTTGGCTCTGCTTGTCTGCTAACTTGTCTGCTAACATAGGGGTTAGCGATAATGCTTATCGAATGCGTTTGAAACTGGTTTGTGGATTGGCTAAGGATTTCCAAAACTAAAACTTGACCGTTAAAATTCCAGACTTTGACAAAGCTGAGCTGATCTTTATGCGAAATGAAAAAAGTTATTAATCATGAGTGTCTTTACATCATTTGTAAGAAAATTCACTTTATTTAATTTTTTTGTTTTGTTTGTATGTATGTATGTACTTATGATTGTATGCATTGACGCATTTGTTTGTATATCTACTTTTATGTATGTGTGTATCTTTAGATGCATATCTGCATTTGTATGTATCTGAACTCAACCCTGGTCAATCTCACTTCCCGCTGCGCTGAAAATTAAAAAAAAAAAAAGAAAGGATTTTTCAATTGTGCTCTACTATGCGATTCTCATGAATTCAAGTAAGGCTTGCAGGATTTAACGCTTTCCTGCTAAGTGTGTGTGATAAGAGTGAGGGCAATTTAATAAAAATGTTGTGTATTTCAAAATACTTTTGAAATTGTGTCCTACTATGAGATTCTCATTTCTTGAATAGAATATTCGAAAAGTGTGAAACCTCTCTCAAATAAATTTGAACAAAGATCTTTTAGGCCGATCGGAGGATAATCAAAAGTTTCTTAAGTTTTTTTTTTTGGAATTTTGTAAAAACCTTCCTAGCTCTTACGGCTTGGGCTGTGCGTTGATCCAATCCAATCCACCAATCACTTTTTAAGATAGAGATGTTATATTTCTATATGCGAAGGCAATTCAGACCTGCTGGATTATCTCCTATTATCCAATATTTATGTCTTTTGCCTTAATTTAATTTGATTGATAAAAGATATTCAAGTAGAAGTTATTTTTCATGGAATATTTTAGATACTCTAGCACGCGACACGGTTGAAACCAAAACATTTTTTAATATTTAAATGCGTAATAAGAATGGTGCTCGAAAAGATAGCGCAGTCTGAGCGATGACGCTGGAGAATGGCAATGAATGTTGAGAAAGTAATGGTATATATTTTATATAGACTATATGGTTATATATATATTTAATCATATTACAATACGCGCAACTTGTCAAAGCTCCAGTAAATAGATAAATAGAGAACTATTATTTAGCAAACAATCCTATCTCTCTCGCGAGAGTGTAAAGTTTGCGGACTTGTGGCATATCTTAACTATTTAGCAGACCACAAAATTGAACAGAACCAAAGATTAATTTTTAATTTAACCGATAAGAGTGGGAGAGTTACAAGAGGGCAGCTCTTGACAAGGTGCACTATCAAAAAAATAGAAAACGCGACGTCACCTGCGAAGCTGTTCCTATAAAAGGTGAGGATTGGCTTGATCAAGCTCATAGTCTTCATCGAAATCAACATGAAGGTGCTTATTGTATTTGCTCTGGCTTTGGCCTACGCCTCGGGATCGGCCCTGCGCGGCGATTTCGAAATTCAGCCACGTAATGTGTACGCGCCCGTCCTGGAAGGACCCGGCGGACGCATCACCAACGGCGAGGATGCCAGTGCTGACCAATTCCCCTATCAGGCTGGTCTATCCCTGAAGATTGGCTCCTCCTCCGCCTGGTGCGGTGGCTCCCTGATTGGCCACGAATGGATCCTGACCGCCGCTCACTGCACCGATGGGTAAATTTTGGCTGGGATTCCAGAGAATTTCCGCTAATCGCTCTTCCGTAATTTAGTGTCGATTCCGTCGATGTCCATTTGGGCAGCACTGACCGCAACAGCCCCAAGGTTAAGCACTCCGTCAGCAAGGATGACATCATCATCCACGAGGGCTGGAACTCCAGGACTCTGTTGAACGACATCTCGCTCATCCGTATTCCTCATGTGGATTACAGCGATGCCATTCGCGCCGTCGATCTGCCCCGCGAGGAGTCTCACTACTCCACCTACGTTGATGATGAGGTCATCGCCTCCGGCTGGGGCCGCACCTCGGACTCCTCCAGCGGCGTTGCTGCCCATTTGCAGTACGCTCACATGAAGATCATCTCGAACACATCTTGCATGAAGACCTACGGCACCACCATCCGTTCCTCCAACATCTGTGTGTCGACCTCAGCTTCCGTTTCCACCTGCAACGGCGACTCTGGCGGCCCCCTGGTGCTCGCTTCCAGCAAGGTCCAAATCGGTCTGACCTCTTTCGGCTCCTCTGCCGGCTGCGAGAAGGAGCTGCCAGCTGCCTTCACCCGTGTGACCAGCTACCTCGATTGGATCAAGCACCACACTGACATCTAAACTAATCGGGACACTAAACGTGCTTTCAGTTGAAGTGCTCGAAATTTGATTAAACTAAAGAACACAAAGATTTTTAAAATTTCTTAGTTTTTATTGAGTAGTGCATTTCCGGGAGGGTGGACTTGTTTTGGGTCATGGGAAAAACTGATGCGGGAAATGCAATCTGATAAAATACGATCCCTCATAAATAAGAAACACAAATTGAATTTTATATTTTTTTTTTATTTGAATTTGTTTTTTATAGTTTTTTTTCTTTCTGTTTTTTGTTCGCGTTTGTCTCAGTTTGAAACATATATTTTTTTGCGGTTTTTATCATAATTTGACTTTAAAGTTTATTTAGGATTTATTCGGCTTTTATATATATCAATTATTTTGTTTCAATAATAAACATTTGGAATGCATTATATAATTTAAATTTAACAATATACATAAATTTGATTTGCGATTTAGTGGCATTGTTTTTCGTTTTTGTTTTGCAGTTATTTATTTTTTAACTTTATCATTTAAAATTGGAGAGACTTATGCACAGTCAACAACATTTTTAAATACACATACATTTTTAAATAGTTATACAGAATAAAAAAGTTACATATAAATGGTCTTTATCAGATGTGAGTTAGGCAAAACTTTTCTGTCACACATTTGTTATAGACGAATATTGCATAAAAATAACAATTATAAAAAAACTTTATATAAGATATATATTTTCATTTTGTTGTATACTTAGTTGATTCTCTCGACCTGTGTCTGTCTGTGTGTCCAGTTCTCAAAATGAACGCAGGCAATGCATATTTAATTTATTGTGGTTTTATATAGGTTCTCTACTTTATACAATTTTTTTCTTCGGCAAAATGCGAAACACAATACAATTATTTTAGACCCTTCAATTTGTTGTTATGGGCTTGTATAGTCTGCTCCAATAATTTGGACCTTGGGTCTGCCCCTGGAGCGAATGTGTGTGTGTGTGTGTGTGTGTGTGTGTGTGTGTGTATGTGTGTATGTGCTGTGTGTGCTTTCGCCTAGCTAAAAATACATACGAAACAGCACTAAACTAGCAAAAATGATTATAATACAAAAGCAAACGAACAAATAAGTACACGAGTGAGTGGCGGTGGTGTTCCTAGTAATTGCAATGCGGTTGCCCTGTTGCGGTTGCTGCAGTTGTTGTTGCTGTTGCTGTTGCCGTTGTCCTTGCTGTGATGTAGTTTGTCGCCGTTGTTGCTCCTCCTCATATAACTGCTGGACTGTTTGCCACAGCTCGGCACTATCAACCACATTGCCAACGCCGTCGCAGACAGGACCGGTGTTATTAATCAACACCGGCAAATCCTTGGCTGCCCTCAATGGCTTTGATAAGCTTATCCTTCAGCTGCAGATAACCCTCATAGGGTGGCAGGTCCAATCTATTAAAGCTATAAGCACATAAGACATACTTTTAAAAAGCGCACGCATTCAATCGAAACCAAAGTCTTACCAGGTATGTGCACGGGGAAAATTGTTGGGTGTGCCCCACTTTTCAATAGTAAACATTTGTGGACCATTCGATCCGTAGAGCTCCTTGAAACCATTCATGGGCACACGTGATGTTCCCGTCACGAATTGCAACAGGCGAGAGCGCATCTCGTTGGAAAATGACAAAACGGCGCGCCAGAACCATTGGATAATAATGTGATTCATGTGGTAGTCGCCCTTATATAGCGTATTCTCACGCCAATCCTTAACATCAATATTCTGTATGCCGCACATCAGCAGCTCCAGTTCGTGCTCGTCAAAGATTTTGATTAGATTAAGCGGTATAATGGAGCCAAAGCCATCCAAGAACGCAGTCATTTGATCCTTAACGCGCGCCACAAAGCGCCACTCGATGACAAGTCTATAAGATATAAGAATTTTTATATATATGCACATGGAATCGGCTTTAATTTGTGCACTCACTTAATGTATTCATCTTTGTTTTCGTTGGTCACGTCAATATTGGCACCGCCAGGCTTGAGTTCATGCTGACTCTTTTGACCAAACACATCCTCATCCAGACAGAATGTCAGCTCCAGAATGCGCGGGTCGTTCTCTTTAATCCACATCAATGAATTATAGTATTCAGTGTCCACTGATTCCATGTCCTTCAAATCAATTGGCTTTTGCAGCATCATCTTGTAGAAGGGACGTATGAAAAAGGCATCCAACAATTTGCCATGATATACAGCCATGCCAGCTATGCGGCCAATAAACCTAGAAGCAAGTCGAGAACACAATTGATTATAAAGATAAATGTGTCAATTAGAATTGCAACTCACTTGAAATAACTTAAATGCTCCTCGTTGCACAAACCGCTGCCGTTATTGATTTGCAATGTGTAGTTATCCATGGCGGAGTACTCGAAGAGTCCGTAATATGGATTAAACATTTCTTTGGATAGTAAATAGAACCATTCTCTGGCAAGGCCACCATAATCTGTATAGAGAAAGCAGACTCTTAATTATTGATATCTATATTAGTTGTTGAAGTAGCTCACCTAAGCCTGTCTCCCCTTCGAACTCTACCCATAATTTAGTCTTTAGTAAATCGGTTTTCGTCACCGAACTAATAATTCTATACGAGTCCTCCAATATCGACGTACGGCGAATGCGTATTTCAAATTTATTTGGTACATTTGTCTGCAACAAGAATATGAATTAGTTGGTTTTCAATTTGGGACTTGGGTCATGCTTACAGGCTTTCTAATATGACTCTTGAAATACTCGTATTTCTGTTTGTAATCTCGCGAATAGGGCACCGCTTGGCCGGCGATATTTGGATTTGACAAGCGTGGATCCTCCCACTGTGTGGTGCGCGTATCTAGATGAAGATGTGGGTTACAAATTTAGTAAAGTATATAAAATTTATGTCCACTCAATGCTTACTGTGATCTATGTAGAAGACGCGACCGTCCGTATGCACGCGCTCCTCCCAGCCCTCGGGCAAGGGGCCCAGATCGTCCTCGACGCGTCGCGTTTGATTTGGCATCGGACTGGCCCGTCCATTGCGCGGATCAATCCAGGTGGTGCGGCGTGATTCATGGTCTATGAAGAAGGTACGTCCATTGGGTGCCACCTGCATGGACCAACGCGGTGGCAGCGCCTCCTCCTCACTGGCTGCGGTCTGCAAAAGAAAGCATGCGTCAATTAACTTTGCATATATATTTATAAGGGGATTGTTTCCGAAATCAAGTGGTTTATATATATTGTTGGGATTTAAGAGCACATGCATTATCATACGATATAGGTACAAGTTAAATATTTGGAATATGGAATGAAACTTTACTTGATCCGTGGGCACAGCCGCGTTGTCTTCCTCGGAATTGCGTCGTGTGGACGGAGCTGAGATCTCTGAGGGATTGTGGCTGTCTGTGTGATCGGTGTCTTCACTCTAATTTGATATGGATGCAATATGTTTTGTTTATTTTTTTTTTATTGCAATTGGAAGAAACAAAAGAAACGATTCCAAAAATTATAATTAATTTTGGCAAGCTCAACAAAAACAAAAATCAAATAAAGAACGAAGCAGTACACGAACATATATAGTGCAGAGCCAATTAAAGAGACCATTTAAAAGACATAAATAACAGATATATTTCTTCAAGAGACTACAACCAGAAACACAAATTAAAAAGTCAGATGGGCAATGTGCTGAGTGTGTGTGAGAATATTTATAAGATGCATTCGATGAAATTATGTACAAAGTGTGTCATACAGAACCTGGGAGCATTTACAACCTAAATACAAACATGCAAAGGGATATACATAGATAGGAGTATAATAAGCAGCGCTTAAGCTTACCTAGATGTAGTACTAACTATATGCACAACACCTGATCTATATACCTGTACGTTTTCTACAGTTGCTCTTGAGTTTGTTGTCGAAATTTTGAATGTCAAATGTTATATTTTTGCTTTTAGTTTTGTATTTTCCCATTGCTTACCCGAGCCGCGACACGCGACCATTTTAAGCCCATCCAAAAATTTGTCTTCAGTTGAAAGATTTCTGGCAGAATTTTAACTTGTTTTTTGGTTTAAACATGGAAAATTTTGAACTAAAGCGAATGCAATATTTTGGAATTGTACTTTTCTACCATTTTGGTGCTATCTTTGGGTTGGGGCAATTTAATATAAGGACGAAAATAGATGTATATGCAATTTGTCATCAAATATCCTTGACAGCGAAGGCAACAACAACGACGCGAGAAGAGTACCAAATTTTCTGTTTCTGAGACACAAATTTTAGAGGACGAAACACAAACTAAATATGATAGTTAATACTTATGACTGTGTGTGTGTGTAGTGTAGTGTGTGTGATTGTATGCGTGTGAGTGTGTGTACTATGTAGCGCAGTGTATGCTAACCAATTGTCTATTCTGCAACTGGAGTTGGCGTCGTCTCTGCTGCCGGTTGTCCAATTGCTGTCGGCCCAAGCTGCTGTCGTTGGCGCGGCGCGTCAATAGATTCGTTATGGCCCCGTTGACAAGATTGCCAGTTGCGTGGCGCACGGGTCGCAAATCGTTTTGCAGACTGGTCGACGAGATTTCTGGCTCCCTACCAGTGTCGCGATGTTGCAGTGAATTGTAAACAAAACTGAATTTGTAAAGAGTTCAAATGATACGAGTTAAACAGACAGCCACAACGTGGGTGGGGGAAACAAAAGGGTCGGGGAAGGGGCGGGGGCGGGTAGGGTACGATAACCGTAGGCACACGCCATGGAACAGGATGTGGACAAACAGAGGGCGGCACTCTAGGGTTTACGTCTCTTTTTGCTAACACAGAGTTGGGCATATTAACCTGGCATGGTCCACCATTGGGTCGGGTTCTATTTCGGCCTGCTCAACTATTGTATCACAATTGTTGCTGTTGTTGTTGTTGTTGCTGTTAGCTGATGCTTGCGACTGTCTGCGTGAGATTTGTGTTGGTGTCGTGGCTGTGGGCGTTGTATTGTTATTGTCCTCTATACTCAAGAGACTGCGGGTATCCTAAGTGTAGATATACATATATACAGGCATGATAAACATATGCGGAGGATATAGATAGAGAGTGTCTATAAAATGTAAAATGTATGTGCAGAATGATGATAGTTGTGCCGAATTATGGGCTATTCTCAATATATGTTAGTTTAAAGTTGATTCTAAATAATTCAATTATGATCTACTGCTGCTATAGATTATAACCCTAGATAATGTCGGGCCATGAATGCTTAATTGAAATATCATTGCTATTTACAGAGCCTTGCCTAGCCTTGCTTTAGATATCTTGAAAACATATCTTGACTACAAAAACTTCGTTTCCAACTATTTGCTTCTATGGCAGCTACATAATATAGATCTGATCTGATCTGACAGACTTCGATATGTGTATTGCCTATAGCAAAGATACAGATCTACATCTAGTTTGAGAAATATAGCTTATAAAATTAAAGCACTAGACAGACAGAGTTGGGCATATCCAATCGACTGCTTAATGCTGGTCTAGAATATATACGCCCGTGTTTTCTTTACACTTCTCATTACACAACAGAGTTTATGTAGCTTTAAATATAAATATCAACTAGCAGACTACATAAATAGTACGTTAAGTAAATAAATAATGATTGAGAAATTAGCTAGGAAATTAGTCGGAGGTTGCGATTCTAGCGATTGTGACACAGTTCCTAAATATACGTAAATAGACGCCAAGAAACTGTTGGGCATTACAAACAATCGCCTCAGGTACAGATTGTGGTCGAGTATATCACAAGTTTGCGCATTGTCGGACAGTGTTAACTGGCGATCTGTCTCGCTAGCGGCGGCTGATTCAACATCTTCCTCCTGCTCAGCCTCTTCCGGCTGATCATCGTGCACCTCGCCGCAGTGCAGACAATTACTCTGGCTATTTGCCGTGTCAGCAGCTCTCAAATACTCCTCCTCCTCCTCCTCCTCCTCCTGATCGCTGTCAGCGCTACTCTCAGCCTTTGCATTGGCTCGCTGTTTGTTGTTGTTGTTTTGAGTGTATGACAAAGGCTCACAACGTTTATTTTACAGGTGATGTGTAAGGTGAATTGTGTGTGTGTGTGTGTGTTGTGGGTGTGTGTGTGTTGTGGGCGTGTTTGTTTGATAGTTAGAAGTATATAAAGATCATGCATAACAATCGAGTCAATTGTTAGCCGACACATGCAGCACAATATAGTTGTAAATTGGTAGTAATAAAGTAGTAGTTGTTGTTATCTTAGTTGTTATTTTGCATTCGTTAATTAAATCAAATAAAAAATGTCTTTTGTTGGTTGCATTTGAGTAGGACTTGCTTGCACTTACCGGCCCACGTCCCGACTCCGTTTCATCCACACTTATGTGAAAACGTCTTTGGAAATCGGAGGCCAGCTGATCAACGTTTTGGCTATTGTTGCTATTCAAGCTGCAAAGATTATTAAGAATTAGATGTCGATTTCATAGAACTCTTAACTAATTGTGAAAGTCCAGTCCGAAAGGAAATACTGTGAATAATCAAATATAATTATTATCGACAGAGCATCTAAAACGTATAAAACATATCTCAAATTTCACAAAGATCTTGAAAAATGAGTTAAATATAATCGAATGGTGAGCAGAAAAGTTCAATACAATAGTTTTTTCACACTTTTGGGTGGAGCTTTTCCAGAACCTCCTCCAAACGTGCACCCTTAACACATAAGTTCACTGCAGTCTACATTTCAGCTTCCTAAATGCGTCCAGTTCGTGCTGTGCATTGATCAATCAATCAGTCAGTCAGCTCAGTTGTCTGGGTGTCGCTAGATAGATAGGTTACACTCACATGGTTGGCCTCTCCCATTGCGTCGTGCGCGCCGTATGATTCACATAGTATGTGCGTCCATTTGCGTCCTGTCGCTCCTCCCAGCCGGCGGGCAAGGCATCCGTGCCGCCGCTAGGAAATGGATGCTAATAGGGTAAAAGCAAAAAGCCAAGTTAGTTAATGGTAGCTAGAGCTGGATGAAGGTTGTTTATTTACCGGCTGTGCTGATTGCTCGCCGGCATTTGTAGCCTCGACATGCTCCCATTCGCCGTCGCTGTTGTTGCTCGAGGGTTCGCTCTGTTCGCGTGTCTCGCGTATGAAGGCATGATATATCTCCAGGGTGCCCTTGATGCGTGATTTGGCGCTATATTTGCATAGATATATAGAGACATAAATATATACATATAGTTAAATAGAGCACTGAATGAATGTTAATGCACATAAAGCTGCTGAAGGCCAGCAAATCGACAATACAGATACAGATACAGATACAGATACACTCTACACACACACTCACATATTTACAAATAATAATAATATTCCAAAACCATAAACAAATATACACAAAGCGCTGTCTAAACATTTAACTAAAAAGCAAATGAGAATAATTTAGAGACGAGTTTCTAGTGCGGTATTCGAGATATCTGAAGAAGCAATACGAAATGCAACATCAAATTATATATGAATCTATAGATAGCTTAGTTTAGGTTATTTTTGATATAAATTCTTTGGTTTTTGTCTTTTGCTATTTTACAATTTAGTTTGGTTTTTCTTTTACTTTGATAGGTTACTAGTTATATATTGATTATGCTGTAGTCTAAATGAACTGAAATTAAATAAAGGAAATCAAACTGCAACTCAAATAAACATACCCTACTGACCTGCGCGGACGCAGCGTATAACTCTGTGAACCAATCGTTCGGCCCTCCTGCTCCGTGGGCAGATTCACCAGCGTCAGCTCGACCATGCCCAGGAAATCATCGCGTGTCAAGCGATTCTCGTCGAATACTTGAAACACCAGCTTGTGCTCAGACGGTTTAACCTACACGAATTACAATTTTCAAATTCAATTTTACTGCATTTAAACATGGATTCTGGATGCTGCTTACCCTGAATATGAACTCCTCATTCCAGGATGGATTCAGTGTCTGTTGGGATTTTCATCGAAATGTTAATTAACAAGTGAACGTTCTCTAGTCGGAAATGTCCGACTAGCAAATTCCTAGAACCCAGCAACGAGCTGCCGTTGCAACCAATTCCAACTGTTGTCCAAAAGGCTTTTGCGCTTTATATTTTGGGCAGATTATAGGGGCAGGTATTCAATGAAATACTCGTTATCTGCATATACTGTTTACGAGAGTCTAAATAACATATTTTGTGTATCTAGCTCGAATAATCTTCGAGTTTTGCTTAGAAAGGGAGGTCTCAAAATCGATATTTATCGATATTGTGCTTAGAACACCTTATTTTAAAATCGATATTTATCGTTTTAACGGAAATGGAGCTCGGTTATTTATACGAAAAAGTATATATTAAACTTAAGTGAGTAGTTGCCGAGATCAAGAGGAAATAAGAGTTTTATCAATCGATGTTTATCGATTAATAGAAATGGAACCAGGTAAGTTATACGAGAATGTATATTTTACAACTTGTATAATTGCTGGGATAAAGAGGGAACAAGACTTTATCAATCTAACTGATTCGAAATGCAATTTGAATTTGATTAGAACTAGTAGCACTTATCGATTCAAATCCAGTTCGTAGTTTGTACACATATAAAATAACTGTATATTCTATACGAGAGCCTATATACCAACTTCTGTGTGACTAGCTCTTGTAATCTTCCAGTTATGCTTAGGAAACCTTGTTCGATCGATATTTATCGATTTTAACGAAATGGGTCTAGCTATTTATACGAGAATGCACAATTTGGACTTCAAGCGTTCAGCTTTTGTTATTGTCGAGATCTAGAGGAAAAAAGGGTTTTTATCAATCTAACCGGCTCGAACCGGAATTTCAATTTGATTAGAACCAGCATTTGCCAGTTCAGTTCAGTTTTCTCAGCAAAACCCCCGTTAGAGAGTGACATGTACATTTCTCAAGACATTATTACTCATTCCCAGCATTTTCACAAATATTTACGCCGGACTTTGGCAAGAAAATTACGAGCAATAATGGAGGTGCATGACTGACGCCGATAAGATAAAGCAACTAATCGCAGCCCCCACAGCTAGTCTCGCGGCATTTGTAATTACCTTCTTTTTGGTTTTAGTTAAAACCGAGTCAATATTAATATCACCGTTGATTGTATTCAAATCGATTCTGACATACGGATCACTGGAAAATATCAGAGATAGAGACGTGTTAAATTAATTGTAGCAAATGGGGGGGAGGGGGGAGTCTAGACCAGACTTACCTGGCGCCAAAAATGTCCTTCTTGGCCAAGGACTTGCCGCTGAGCACAACTATGCGCAGGTGACACGAGTCCCCAGTGTCGTTCTGTAATGAAAAGAAAGCAGAATGGCAAATGTGAAAAAGTTAAGAGAATGCTTAAACAATTTGAGACAGCGCCAGCCAAGACAGCCGCGTGTGCAACAAATGAGCCACTTCTGCTTGCCACATGCAACCGATATCAAAGCGACAAAAAACTCACAAAATGCCAGACACCTACTGTATTTATATATACATTTATTCATGTATGATATTTGCATATGGGTACTATATATATAAAACACGAGCATATGCTTGTGTTTAAGCTCGACTATAAGCTGCGTATACTTAATGCCAGTGATTGCGCATACGCCACGTTGCTGCCTCGCCTAATTTATGCACTTCAATGCTGAAATAGAAGATGTTGTGTGCGTGCGTGCGTGCGTGTGTATTCCTCTTGTCCTTGACCCAAGCACAAGGCCACCAAGGGAGTCTCTCTCACTCGCATGCTAATTATGTGCAGTACTTGGCCATACAATTAGAGTTAAATACCCATTTTATAGTTGTCACATAAGTTTTTAATAACACGACTTTAAAGTCAAGTTTTAGTGTTAATTAATTTCCCTTTAATGAGTTTTCAAACATTACCCAAGGCTTAAAGCGAAGGAATACTCTTAGATCGCATAAAGACATATTATAGACATATTCTTTTTCGAGTCGGAAGTGCCCGACTAGGGGATACCTTGAACCTTTTTCGCTGGGCGGGGGTTAGCTTTAGAAGAATGAAGAATACTTAATCTGTATATACTATTCTGTATGTCAAATTTTGGGACTCTAGCCATTAAAACTAAAGAGATTAGCTCAAAATCGAGATCGATATCGATTTAATCGATTGCTTGGAAACGGGGACAGTTGTTGATAATCGGAAAGTAAATATCAAGTCTTTAGCTCTTATAGCTTCTGAGATACGGCTATTTATTCTGGCCAAGAATATATGTACTTATAGGGTCGGAAGATGCTTCTTTCCGCCTGTTACATACATTTGCACAAAGTCATTATACTCTCTTTACCCATTTTCAATGTATCCAGGGAATGAAAATTAAATAATCAAACTTATTTTCAATTTCTTTGATAAGTATACACACATTTTAATGTCAATTTGAATCCCTGTGAACTTTCTGCAGTTCGAAGAGAATACAAACAAGTTGTTTGAAGAATAAAGTTCTCGTTGACGCAATCTAAAGCAGCTTGTGGTGAAATTACAAGTAAATACAAGTATATACAAGTTTATACATATATAACTAACTACAAATATGTGTTACAACAGCTCGAGACTGGAGAGGGACTGGCTGAGGGTATCTCCCAATCCGGTTTTTCCGTTTGGAGCTCTCTGATTATTGTTTCAAAACATTTGAATTATTTCTATAATATTTTATTTATATCTATAATATGTACAATAGTGTCAACGTTGGGGCTCGCGCACATTTTCCGCTTTCATAGGCGAATGCATTTTGCAGAAAACTATGACACGTTTTCCATGAACTTGTTATATTGATTTTCAGCGGGGTTTCCATCTTGGAATGCCTGCGGTTTCTGTCCGCTGTCTGCCGAACTGGCAACTGCCAACTGCCGAACTGCTGACTGTTGCAGTTTGTACAGCATTGGTATTTCGAATAGCTGCAGCAAAAGGCATATTACTTTTGAGTACAGGTTATTCTGGGCCTGCTCTGTAAGCGTGTCAATGACGAGTACGCAACAGAATTGTGGCCGGCCAGCTTGGCAACTGAAATATACATCGGCTACTCGTTGAGCCCACCCCAAAGACCCGATTATACCAGTCAATCAGTCAATCAATCAATCAATCAACAACAGCTACAGCCCGCCCCGCTTGCTTCAGAGCAAAACCCATGCCCAAACCCTTCTTTGGCGCCGTGACACTAAGCCCCAAGTTTAATTGATTTTTAGCCATTAAATCTCTGGTGGTGATGCATTGTCCCACTATGCAGCAGACAGCTGTCCGGGGAAACGAGCTAATCACAATTAACTGCCTTATAGCATTATATATATATTCAAATCTTGAGCAACAAACGATAAAACATGCTTATCTATATATCTAGAGAGTTCTTTTTTGCTGTGCCGAAACACAAGGAACATGTACATTATTTTTGTTTCAGGGTTGGATTTTTGAATAAGCTCAATTAAAAATTATCAATTCGGTTCGGTTTACGCTGTGAACCAACTCCCTGTCTGCAGGTCCAGCTTGTAAAGTCAGTTTATCACAACTATGATCCCAGATAGAGCTACAAATCTTGTTTTATCGTATATTTTCAACATATATATTTTCATATATATTTGTTTTCTACATTTTATTGAAACACTTTCTTTACCAAATTATAATTGCGCGCCGGTCTACTGAAAATATGGCAAGCCTTAAATATTTTCATATACCAAAGACGCGCTAAATTTAATATAAATCCAAAATTGGCAACAGCCAAATAATGCTTGGATATAGATTGGGGACTCAGTTTAAAAGTTGTTTAAACAGTGGTTGAATAAATATAGTGCAATTCAGATATCCGTTTGACTGATATTATAGCAAATGGCTTGGTTTAAGCTTCGGGTTTGGTGTCGAATGCAAATCGACTCGGCTTAAAGCCCGTTGCAACCAGTTGCTTTTGGGTATAAAAATTCGAAGAGGATTCTTATATATTAGCATTAAATAATAAATATTTATTACTCAATGAATATTAGCAAGCATCTCATAAAAAAAACAATACAGAAATCGTAATTGTTCGCCTCTTTATACACATTATTTAAAATAGAAATATCTTTTTTATATGTCATCATATGTTCATCAAATTTAATGAAGGTTCGCATGAGAATAACTTTTAAAATATGTGAAGTTTATCATAGAAGAGAAGATGGATATTCAGATAGATAGGTAGCTAGATGGATATATAGATGGATAGATACAAAGATAGATAGGTAGATAGATAGATAGATAGATATATATCTAGATAGATATACATTTACCATAAGAATCTTAACTCTTTATGGATTCAAATAGGTAAACATAGTATTCGCCTACCCCAAAGCGATTATCAGAGTGAAGTTTTGGTTATCAAATCAGATTCCTCAGCATGTGAGCCAGCGTAGCGCCTACAGCTTTTTATTTTTGCTGAATAATTACAGACCAAAATATATGTATGAATAATCAATTTCTTGTGATAAGGTTGTTAAATTTAAAGTCGAACAGCCGGACGGAAATGTGATTTTTATCTACATCCATTATATAATGCCAGAAGACTTTGTAACTGCCGTTGACTACGTAAATACGTAAATACGCAAAAACAAGACCAGCTTTTAACTCCAGAGCGCATGGAAAAATATGATTATAGCCCATAAGCTTAGTCAAACACCATTAACTAAATTGATTAAATTGATTTTTCTACTCCATTTCTTTTTTGCACTCATCTAAATGTCACTGAAAATTCATTACACAAATTGAGCTGACGTCGCATATGAGTTCAGCAGAGTTTTCCCCCTTTGATGGATTGCCCAGTGCAGATGGATTCAGATGAATTCATTTGTGGCATAAGCATGTATTTTGATTAGGAACAAAACACATTTCTAGTTAACGAGTAATTAACAATTATAAATGGACAGAAAACTAGCATCTGTAATTTCGAATTGACGAATGGTTTTTCGTTCCATAATGCACAAGCGAATACGTTTTATAGAGTTTATTTGAAATTTTTGTTGTCGCTATATTGACAAGTATTGCTACTTTATCGCATGATCAAGTTAGAGAGCGGAAGAAATATATAATAAGAGTTTCTCCTTCATCACTAAAACAAAAACATACAAAAATCTGTTGAGCTGGGCGTGACGTTACCGCTAACTAACACATAAAATATAACAGCGCTCGTCTATGCGATTCTCAACGATTCAAATAATGATGACAGATTTAAATGTGTTATAAGGAAATTAGTTAGTGAGTGAGTCTTAATGAATTAGCAAGCAATAGTGTGGGTGAAGAGGAAAAAGGGAGAGAGCGGAAGATAGGCTCTCAGTGAGAGTGGGAGAGAGAGAGAGTAAGCGTGAGAGTTAGGGAGAGAGCGTGAGAGAATTAAAGAGGTTAAGAGAGTCGGAGACAGCCGAAGGCATATATTTTGTCAGGGAGAGAGAAAACTATTCAAGAAAAGCCCAAGTCTATGAGTAAGAAGCCCTTCTCTATTGTCTAATAAGATAGTTTACTGCAAATAATATCTCTATGATGAAATTATTACTTGAATTCACGATCTTCGTTTACATACATTTCCACAACTTTAGCGGATACAGAGAGTACTTTGAGGCAGCACTGATTGCAGTTTGAGAGAAAGGGGGAGAGAGAGAGAGAGAGCCTGCGATCACACTTACTTCACTGTTATTAAAGCCATGTATTTGGCCATCTTCACCATTGCTTGTGGTTGTTGTTGACTCGGCCATTTTTGTTATATTTTGTTTACGTTGTCTTTATAATCCACGGAGAGTGTTAATTATTGCACGCCTATTAACTAAAAAAGCAATAAACATTGAGGGTTATCAGCGATTGGATTTAACTGCATTGAACGAGATTCGCCAAAACAATTCAATTTTGGCGCAAAAACTTTTATTTCTATGCCTTTTCGGAGTCTTTTGCAATGCGCCTTTATTTATTTGCAGAACGGAACAGGTTTTCACCACAGATTGAGTATTTTTGTTATTTATATGTATATTATATAGTTCGGGTGCTCTCGGTTTTATTTATAATTGTTGCGGGTTTCTTCTTGTATACAAAATTAGGTCTGCATCAAACTGAAACATACTAAAATGTAAAAGTTTTTGGCATATGTATGTGTCTGTGCATGTGTATGACTAATCAGAGCCCAAAAGAGCAAACGCATACAATTCGCGGCGGGGAGAGCGGCAGCGGGAGCCACAATAATGCGCGATGGCGAATCTTGTTTTCACATTGCGACGTTGATTCTTAGCTCACGACAACGGCAGCCAGCAAAAGGCTGGACTGACTGTTGCTTTTATGTACACATATATACATATGTATGTACGTTTTATATAATTAACACATTTTCACAGAATTGTGTACAATACTATTTCGAAACGCACGCGGCGTTTATATTTTTATATTTTTTTTGTTATATGTGTGTACATAATTCAATTATTCATTTATTTATCTCTCATTAACAGCCGAAGCGCAAAGGCAACGATAGTATTAATAATAATAAACAACAAAAACAAGCAGAACAACACAACACACCAACACTATTGCAGAAACATGTTCTTTTCCACTTTCTTGTGATTGTATTTGTATGGCGACAGCACCAAAAAGAAGCAGCAACAACAACAACAACACGACAGTTGCCGCTGCCTGTAACGGGAGCTCTCGCGTTCTAAGCTAAACTAAAAATAGTGCTCCAAAACAGTGTGGCCAAACGGTTAAAGCTAATAAATGCTAAGCGAGCAATGAGATGCGCTCCAAAAAGCTTTTGTGCGGCCGCTCTTAATGGTGTGACCAAAATGCGGCTAAATAAATTGGATATATTTTCAGAAAATGAGCAGCACACATGTAATTGTAAGTACATAAACAAACAAAAACAATTAAATAATAAACGCAATAATAAACAAACGCATATGCAAACAGTGTGTCCACATTGTGCAAAGTGTCGTCTGCAGTATTTTCCCCACTCCAAGGGCAAAGCTTTGTGTGCGCGCGAGCTTTTCAAAACAGGCAGCGCAGCTCACGAGTCGCTGGCAGCTGCTGCGCGAATAAGCGACAAAGCAAACAAAACAAAAACAGATGATTTGAAGTAAATAGCTGCGGGTTGATGGTTTTGGTGTGAGTGCGAGTGTGTGTGTGAGAGGGAGATGTGAATGAAGTACCGTATTTAAAACTTCGCCCACGCAAAAAACAACTAAAAGCCAAATATGCGTCAACAAATTAGAATTAACATTTGTTTGCAACCGGCTTACGTCAAGCATTAGTTTTCTATATTTAAATAAGTAGATGCACGATAAGCACCGCATTAATGGACTTGTACGTACCCACCGGCAACTATGTATGTATGTGTCTGTGACGTTGACGGGCGTGTCTATGACTGTGACGCAATTATCTAGACTGCGAGTACAAAACTCTCACTATTACAATTGCAAGCGCTTGGATGAAAAATAAAAATCAAAAAGCTCGTCCCGCACGCTCACGCTCAGCAGAAAAACGCGCTAACTGCAGCTTGTTAAGTTTTGGAGGGCGACGGTCTCGCCCGCCGCTTGCGGTTAACACAAACTCACTAATGAAGATAAAAGCAGCTGCCCGACTAACTGGCAGCGTGTTAAATGAGTTAAACAAATACAGTGAACGCTCCCGCGAGTGAACATCTACCATTCACATCTATTTTGTGGTCCACTTAACATATATTTTATGAATAGAACAAAAGACCGTTTGCTCACTTATTCTTTTCTATATTTTAACATATTCCTATGTATGTTTATGCTCTTCACAGGTAACTGTCTGTTAGCAGAGTCTTCACTGTAACTTAAAGTCGCTCAATTCATTTCATTGAGAGCTCAAATTACGCACATTCAAGTGCCATTCAAGACAGACAATTGCTGTTTATAAATTCAATTAGCAAATTAATTTGCAAACCTAACAAAAATAAGCACTAAGACTTTGCTTTTAAGTGGGTTTTTTATTGTTTGTTTTCAACGCGTCAATGTTTATTATTGTTATGAGGCAGCATTTTCTAGTTGTTTGTTTATAGAGGAAAAGCGCAAAAGTGCGAATTTCCAGGCACATTTTCAATGGAGACGTGCGTGCTAGCATTACAGCAACCCCCAGAACCTAGAAACGTGCCTTTTAAAGATCTCTGGAATTTGATAATTACACTCAACGCTTATCATGCACAAGACCTTATCTCAGGCCACGAAAGAACACATACAAATGCTTAACTGCCTGCAAGTTGCTAAAGGTTGAGAATGTTGTTATTTTGTGGAATATAAAGCATTTTGATTTGCAATAAAAAACCAAAAATCTAATTTCGAAATTGTCATCTACATGTGTATATTCATATATGCGAGCATGTGTTATGTTTACATAAGCCAAGAGTTTATTCCACTTTTATGATATCTAACCCCGCTGCGGTGCAAATTTAGCAAAATGAAACCTATTTTTAAATATCACCCTACTACGCGATTCTCATGAAATCAAGTAAGCCTTATAGGTTTTCATAATATGTTTATAAGTTTGTTGGTAATCTTATCAACCTCACTATTGTGTGTGAATGGGTATGATGTATGTGTGTATGAATGGAGGTGTGTATGTATGTATGTGGTTTTGTGTGTATTGCTGCATTTGTGCATCATTCATGATTCTCATGAATCCAAGTAAGTCTTGCTGGGTGTTTCAATCTTTGCTCATAAATGTTATATTAATATGCGGTTTTGGTGTTGTATGCGTGTACGTATGTATGTATGTACTAGCAAATAATTGTAAATAAAGTATAGATTCTATACAAATCTTATAATACTGAGCTTAAATGGAACAAGGTATATAATAATACAGTTATTTGGTACGAAGGCTTATAAGTATTATGTATGTGTGTGTTGCATGTATGTGTGCGTATATATGTGTTTGTGTGTGGGAGTGTGTGTGTTAGGGTATGCATACAGTTATAAATATATGTATGCATGCACGTTTGTTTTTTAATGCCAAACGCAGACCAAGCTTATTTGTCGCTGTGCTGCAGATTTAAATAAAACGAATTTCTACCAAGTGCTCTCCTCCTCGATTCTCATAAATTCAAGTAGGCCTTGCTGAAATTCAACAAGGCAGGAAACGTGGGCTCCAACAGCCTATGGAGGAGCAACTTGTGGCGGTGGAGCAGGAGGAGGTAGAGCGGGTATGTAGATATGTATGTAGATGTAGATATATATATATATATATTTGTATGTATATATGTATGTATGTGTGTGTATGTATGTATGTGTGTGTATGTACGTGTATGTATGTGTGTGTATGTATGTATGTACATATGTATGTATGTATGTACATATGTATGCATGTATGTACACATGTATGTATGTATGTACACATGTATGTATTTATGTACATATGTATGTATGTGTGCATGTATGTAGGTATCCGAACATGTATTCATGCATGTACGCATGCATGCATGTTTACATATATGCAAAACAAAGCATGCATATATGCACATGTGTATGCACGTATGTGTATGTTCTCTTATAGCAAACGCTGTTCAAGTTTACAGCTGAGTGTTGCATTAACAAATTGTGTGACCAATCTAATAGTAATTATCTCTATTTATTCCCTACTCTAATTTACTCTACCTCTTTCCCATTTTTTTTTCTTCGCCTCATTTAAAACATTTGGGAAAACCGCACTTTCTTACTTTTAAATGTATTTAAAAACATCAACAAGTAATTTCGCATTAATGCGAGTCACAGATGTTTTTAGGGTTGATTTTCATAGTCTGGAGAGATTAGATTGACTGTGAAAACACCGTAAAAATAAATATGCATATATGTATATGTGTGTGTGTGTGTCAGCACTAAATAAAGCACAAAAATAAAAAAAACGCTGATAAGCAGCGAAGTTCCCACTTGCAGCCCAAAATTGACCTCCCCCTGCAGCCGCTACTCACCACAGCTGCCAACGATCTGCGTGGCGTGTGTCCGTTGTTGTAATCCAGGCGCTGCTGCTGCGATTGCTGTTGTCCCGCGACAGAGGCGGCGCGTCGCCGTGGCGGCGGGCGTGGCACATCGGCCGTTGACGAGGACGCGGTCACAACGCTGCTGCGTGCCGACATTGTGTAAGGCCTACGATCTGCAGCTGCAATAACAAAACGACAAAAAAACAATGAAAGAGACAGCAATAAAACGATCGAGAGAGAGAGACAAAGAGACAACGGAAGTGCATCTTTAATGAAAAGCACACAAAAGTGCTTAAACAATAACAATAGCAAGAGGTGCGAATAAATGCAAGCTGCTGCATAGCAAGGCCAAAGAAACAGTAGACAACAAAGGCGTACAACGAACGGTACTTGTAAGGTACACAAACACATACACACACACACACAGGGGCAGGTGTCTATGTATGTGCGCATAGAATTCATATGACCAGCAAAGCATAAAGCCAAGTAATTATCCAAGCGCAAAGGGTTCAACGCCGTGTCGACCTGGCCGGCTTCCGTCATGGCACCAAAGTCCTAAACTTATTCTATTTTACTTAATCTTAAAAGTTAAACACACAGATACGGACGCACACACACACACACAGTCATACACACTGATTGCCGCGCTTACTTGCACAGTAATTTCGCTTGATTTATGCTATATTTTTAACTAAATTGTTCTACTATAAATGTGAGCATGTATTTGTGCAATTTATGAATGCATGCACATATAGGTAGGTGCATATGTGTGCGTGTGCGCTGATACTTGAGGAAAACTCATCTCACGTACATCTTTTTGCACTGCCAACTACACGATACGCTTCGGTTTCGTTTTATTCGCGTGTCAACACTAAATCGCGCTTACATCTTCCGTTTTACATATAGATAAATTGATTGTTTATTTTTTTCACACAAATATTACAACAATTTTTGAACTTTCACAGCTTAACACGCCCGACAAAATCCGACAACTAACTAATTCCGATATGTCTGTTGATATCTTTCCGGCGCAACTCTGCGGCCAGAGTAGAGCAATACAATTTACTAGAAGCAGTGTTGTTAAATGCTTTTTAAAATTTAAAAGTATAGTTTTATAAATCAACAAGTAGCCAAAACCATTGTTTTGTTTGCAAAGTCTGCCAACAATAGAAATCTTAATTAATTTTAAATAAAGATGACCAGTCTTTCCCGCTTCTGCAAATAAATACTAGAGGTAACAGTGACAGCGTGACTCAGAAACAGTTACCACGATATTCGCTTATGTCTCTGATTTTCTGCATGCAAATATCGCCCGTCACTAACGAAAACGTAAATGCGAAAGGCAGTGAAAAATTTAAACGAAACAACACAAATTCTTGTAAATTCAATGGAGTATTAAATTTTAAAGGTCATTTCATGTAAACTAAACAAATCCAAATAACCCTAGCACATTTTGCATTAATAAAATCAAGTCGTTTACGTTCCCAATTTACGTGCGTGCATTAGTGCGTGGTAATTGCGTATTAAACAACAACAGCAACAGCAGCTCGAAAACAAACTGCTAACGCTGGCAAAAAACTGAAGCCCAAAAGTGAAACTAAAAACGAAAAAAATAAACATTTTTGTGTGGTCGACGATTAGTTCTTACATGGGTTTAACAGATCAAGATTGGATTGGTAGTGCGGTCAGCCTGACCTGCGACGACGAGCTGGGCGTGTTTCAGGGCCTGATTAAGAAGATTTCAGCCGACGAGATAACAATTGTGCGCGCCTTTCGCAACGGTGTCCCCTTGCGCAAACAGAACGCGGAGGTTGTGCTGCGCTGTGCCGATATCAAGAGCATCAATCTAATCGAGCCTGTGAAGGACGCCGAGACGACGACGCCGACGGTGATCAACAAGCCGACGCCTGTGAAGTTGCCGCATTTCTCCAACATTCTTGGCAAGCAGCAGCAGCTGCAGCATCAACAACAACAGCAGCTGTATCTGGAGCGCGAACAGGAGCTGCCTGCGACGCCCAGAGCCAAGGCGAATGGACATGGCAACTTGGGCAGAAACGGAGCAACTGCAGCTGGCAGCAAATCGGCGCTAAGCGATAAAATGCAGCAACTGATGCTCATCACGAATACGAATGGCGCTAATGGAGTGCGCAGGTAAGTAAGGATACAGATGGGAGCACAAGATTGCCATGTGGGTGGGTATTTCACATCCGGTTATAGGGTGTCTTCTATTCCGGCTTACTTTCCAAACAAACGAGCTAATTTATTGTTTGTGCTTGCCTATGCAGAACACCGCAGAGCTCACGTGCATCCAGTGCACAGCAGCCGATGGCGACGACGCCTAACAGCGTGGCCGCCTTTTTTGGCAACATGATTCCGGCCAAGGTGGAGGTAAAGCTGGGCAGCACGGTCTACAATGCAGCAGCAGGCAGCGGCGGCAACAACTTGGAGAGCTACTGCAGCAGCAGCGCCGATGGCAGCTGCGGCAGCGCCGAAGTACCTGGCGGCAGCAGACCCATTGACATCGTAAGCAAAAGCAATGGCAACACCAATGGTGGTTTCTATGCCCAGGCGGCAGCCAGCCTCGGCAATGGCAATGGCAAGCGCAATGGCAACGGCGGCAGCTTCAACTCGAACTCTTTTAATGCGAATAGCAATGGCAACGGACATGCAAATGGCAATGGGAATGGAAATGGCAACGGCAAGAACAAGGGGCGTAATCGGGTGCGCCGCGAGAGCAGCATGCGGCAGCAGCAGCAGCAAACGTTTGGCAGCGAGGCCGATGATCCGCTGCTGAACGAGGAGTTTGACTTTGAGGGCAACCTGGCGCTGTTTGACAAACAGGCCATCTGGGATGATATCGAGTCGACGCACCAAAAGCCGGACGTTGTGCGCCATGCGGTCCATGTGCAGAAGCAGCAGCAGCAGGAGAAAAAGTATCGTCACGATGAGAACATTTTGGCCAGCAAGCCGTTGCAGTTGCGCCAGATCGAGAGCATTTTTGATGGCAGCCAGGATTTTGTAACGGACGATGGCCTTATTATACCCACCATTCCGGCATATGTGCGCAACCGGATCGAGATGAGCGCCGAAAAGGCGGGCTTGTCGCTGCAGCGACAAATTGATATGTTGGCGCGGGGTGCCAGCGATTTGGCCATAACACTGCTGGGCGGCGCAAGACGCTTGACGCCAGCGAATAATCATCAGTGGCCAAAAATAGTCATCATATGCGATGGCGTTAACACCATGAGGTGGGTTGTCTGCTGCCTACGCTTGCTTAATATGCACCTGTTCTACATTTGATTTCATTTGCCCACAGAACAATAAACATTGGCGCCACTACAGGTCGCCTTTTGGCCTCGCATGGCCTGACCGTGCTGCTCTACGTGGAGCAGGTGCAGCTCATTGAAAAGAACAGCAGCTTGGATGTGGCCCTCTTCAAGGCTACCGATAATACCATAGTACATTCGGTGGACGGTACGTAAAGCCTAGTCAACCAATTTATTCAACTCTCTATAAACTTGGTTAAATATTTATCTTGCAGCTATGCCCACGCCTGATCTTGTGATAGTATCGACAAATACCGTTAATCTATCGGATGCAATTAAGCAATGGTTGAGCGTCAATCGGTAGGTAGCTTCTCTTAGCTTTATAAACGAGTGTATTAACCAATTCAATTTACTTGTAGCGCATCGGTGCTGGCCGTGGACCCGCCACCGTGTGGCATTAAGGAGGTTGCTATCAAGTACTCAATATTACCCATTCTACCATTGATCCAAGATCCAAGCACTTCGGCTGCTGCTGCTGCAGCAACAGCCAAAACATCAACGAATAATTGTGGCAAACTGTATTTATGTAATTTAGGTATACCAGATAAATTTTATCGTGATTGTGGCATTAAGTACAAAAGTCCCTATGGACATAAATATGTGATACCGATTCACTCAAAGGACTGAAACAACGACAACAACAGCACACACACACAAACAAAACAAACAAAACAAACAACAACAACAATAAAAACAATCTTCAGCATCAGACAGCAATAAACCAATCATAATCAGCAACAAAAAACACTCAAACACACACACACACACATGTGATGATCATCAAAGTCCTGTTTCCTGTGAATCTAGCTAGCTCTTAGAAGTCTCTCATATATAACTCACATTATACATTTAATATTAAGTTTAAGCACATAGTTTATTCCTAAATTCGATTATTGATCCTCCATTAAGAGCTGCCCTAGCCTAGTGCCGAACTACATTCATAATTCTATATTTATATTTTTTTGATGTTGTACAAACCCTTAAAGCTAGTCCAGCATAATTCATTTTGTCTTGGCGTTCGCTTAAGGTTGTCAAATTGTTTTTAGAGCCACATTCTTGCATATTTGATGCTCTCCCACCCGCAACTACCCTATAAACGAGACTATAGCTTTACAAATATTTTATATGCACTGGACAAAAAGAACCCTACCCAAAAAAAAAACAAAACAAAAAAACAAATAAAAGAAAAAGAACCTTAACTGGTCTTCGGAGCAACTTTCAAATATGCATTCAACAAATGATTGTAAATAATTGTATATTTGCATAATTGTTTGTATATGTATATGGAGAAAACTCAATTGAATTAATTTTGTGAGATTGAGCGAAGTATACGCAATACATGCCAAATTAAATGTCTACTTTTTAAGCATAAAATCAACAACTATTATATGGTAATTTCATAAACAATACAAATACAACAATTACAAATCAGAGATCAATAAGTTAGTTTCGTAAGCTTAAGGTGTTTAACAACAAGAAATCAACAACAACAACAACTTTAACCTGTATTTAGAGATAATTTTTAAGCAAATTGTAAGCTGTAAAATCGAAAAACCCTATTTTGTACTCCCATCGAATACTGAAAAAAATCCCAGAATACTTCTAAATGTATCGCGATGAGTTTTATAAAACCAAATCTGAATAAGTACTATATCAAAATCCAATCAAATAGCGAAAATGTTAGCCGTTGCAAACTCAATATCGCAACAAAAAACCTTAACTAATTGTTGTAAAAATATTATAATGTAGATTCTAAATTTCAATTGTTGATGATCAGCCTGCGAATTTGTTTCGTACTTTAAACAAAACAAATCGGAAGAGATAAGAAAAACTTGTAACAAACGGTTTAATGCGCTTTTCTCAAGCGGAAAAGCCTCTTTGACTGTTTTGGAGTTAGGAGTAGGAAAGTTGACCGGACGCTGAAGTGATGTTAGATGGATCAGAGGTTGAGAAGGTTATTTTCAACAACAATAATAAACAATATCACACACACACACACACATGCATGCACACACGAACACACACACACACACATGCATGCACACACGAACACACACACACACACATAACAAGAACCACAGACTTTGATAAATGCTTTAAAAATTGTAAATTTAAAAAACTATTTTCGGTCCAATTGTATAAAACATAATTTTAATACGCCAAAAAAAAAAGAAACGAAAATTTGCCGACAAATCAAAAAAACATATAAACACAAGTTAACTAAAAGAACAAAAGAAAAACAACAAAAATCCTTTACAACAACAATATTAAAGAAACAAAAACACCGAAAAAGCCTTCTCATGGAAAACAGAAATCCAATTGTGTTCTTATTTAAAAAAGGAGCTGTTCACCCCAGGATAAAAACCACAACAAATATACTCTGGCATGCACGCTGTACTCTTTTCCTGGCTTGACGCTTGCAATTCTCAACTAGTTAAAGCTTTGTAAGAGGGACAAGCTGTAAGCAATCTGCTGATTACATAACCGGGAGGTAATTTTATACCGTGAGTACTTACTTTTTTCTAGTTTCTTTTATTTATATAAATTAAAAATTTAACATTGATCACGAGCTAAACAGACGCCATAAGATAATGGCATCCACCACACTATTTCCACTTCTAAGCAAAATGCCCGATTCCTATACCCTTTAAAAAGTTTAAGGAACAACATTTTAAATGAACTGTTTATTGTACTCTTCGAAGGCACATATATATATATACCTATATATAATTATACATTTCTTTTAGAATCGTGTATAAGCAAAAACATAGAGTCCTTACTTTCAACCGAAACAATAATACTTCATTCATTCAGTTTGCGATTTTAACTAGCAAATTAAAAATTCAATTTTAGACTATTCGAAAGTCTAAGGAGTGTAGTAATAAATGCTAGGTTTGTTCATGCCCTTGGTCCATCTTCAAGCGCTTTGGCTGGAGATCTCCTTTGTCGTTATCGCGACTACGCTTGCCCAATGCCGTTTGTTGTTGTCTGCCGGGCGATTGTAGCTGCACGGTTATAACATTATAGGCCTCCACTTCAACGGAAACAACTTTCATTTGGGGTGTTAGGAGACTCTCCTCAAAGCCAGAATCCGGACTGGGCCAGTTGCTCTCCTGTAGCTGTTGTCCCTTCACAGCGGGCATCGCGTGATAGTAGTGATAAAGTGTAATTACGTCCACACATGGCTCCACCATGTGTTCAGTGTACGACGTAAGCTGCGTTAGGTAGGGCGTCCAGCGCTTGGGCACGCCGCACACCTGTCGCGTTGCCGCAATACAGCTTGCGGCCAGCAGAGAGGGCGGCTCGTTGCAAAATCTGTTGACTGCAATTGACATTTTATTTGGTTAATTTAAATAATACAAAAAACAACTATAGTCGGCAGTGGCCGACTAGGAGATTCCCTGAACCCAGCGCCAATAACTTTCTTCTATACGAACTTTCCTTCTGAGCATTTTATGCAGACTGCGCTTCTTCCCTTTGCCCCACACTATGTATGCGAAATGCATCCTTTTTTAGCTTTGGTGTTTGTTGTTCTAATGAAGTTTCCATGACTGACATGGCATACAAAAGTCGATATATATCAAAGCCCTAGGCTCTAACTTTAAAAATAATGTGGACGGAATGCATGAGCTGTATGTGCTATCAGAGATCCTACATATGAAGTTTTGTGTATCTCGCACTTACAATTTTTGAGTTAAGAAAGTGGGCTCATATAAAATTAAAGAGGGTATGGTATAGAATATAAATTTTAAGTCTAGTTTTTTCTAATTCGCGTTCACGCAGACGGACAAGGCTAGATTCATTGATCCCTCTCGACTTCCTGACCAAGAATTTATAAAATGAATGGGGTCATTGACGTTTCCTTTACCCTGCCTCAACCGTTCACTCAAAAACAATATACCCTGTAAGCAATTCCCATGGGTTCGGGGTATAATAAATTGAAATCGTCAGCTTACTGCTCAGAGTGTAGTCGGATATGCGGAGCAGTAGCTGTGCCAGCGAGGCCAGCATTTGCTCGAAGCAACTGTAACGCGGATAGCTGGCTGCCAGAGCGGGCAGCTCATCCAGTTGTTGGCAGTAGGATGCATAATCGTCGCGTGTCAGGAAACTGCAGGCGAACATCTCCACAAAGCTGGCTGTCGTGGGTCGCATCAGGTTGAACTCAAAGAAGGTGAGAACCTTGCGTTCGACGGCCTTGTACTCGAATGCTGTGTAGCAGTCCTTGATCAGGCGGTTCATTTCGCTGTAGCGCGGCACAAATGCATCCTGGTTCTCGATCTGGGCCGCAATGTGCAAACAGGTCAAGGCAATCAGTTGCAGCTTGTCCGTGCGAATGGTATAGAAATCAAGGAAACGGTCCAGATAATAAATGGCTGCAAATGTATTCAGTTATTTAGATTTATACTTGTATGCTGGAGGAATTTTGGACCTACACAAATGCAAGGCGCAGCGGCTGAGCTTGTAGGTGCGCGTGATTAGCTGGCAAAGCTGCAGGAGCTTCGGTCGGTGATCGATTTGGGTCGACATGAAAAACACTTGACGACGACGCATCTCGGACTCCTTCATTGTCTTGAAAATGTCGATTGCGTAGTCGCTCAACCATTGGGATTTCGACAGGCGCTGCAAAAGGCACAGAGTATAAACCAAAATAAACTTACAGACATACGTATGTATATATAACCTTAGCGCGTGCGTACCTCGAGCTTGGTTCTTTCATGCTCATTTTTCTCGCTGAGCGTGAAGATGTTGCCCTCAAGCGCAGGCTTAGCCATTTTCCTGCGTGTCGTCTATATGTTTCTATTTACATACAAGTTTATTTCGTTTGCTGTGAAACTCATTGCGAACGCGCACACATAACAAGCAGCTCAAAAGAATGGCCGACAATAACGGTTAAAGCACAGTGTGCACACACTGTACCAATAACCGTAAAAGTTGTTAAAAGAAGCGAGAGATGGGCGATTTTTTCCAGCACGAAGTGAACCTGATAATTTTAATATAACATAGTTTATCTCATTTAAATTCTGCAATTACAATATTAAAAATTAATTATTTATGAGTTGCTGCTATTAACAAAAGATACCTTTTCCACCTCGTGAGCCTCGTCTTAGATCAGTCACGATACACAAAATGGTTCACCACTAAACAAAATATTCAAAACAGTTTTCGAGTTATTTGGTTTTTTTTTGATTTTTTTTAAATAACACACTTGTTTTAGTTGTAAATTTGATTCAAAGCTCATTTATTGTATTAAAGGATAATAGCTTACATATGCTAAGTCTATAATGGAATGAGTACATACATAAATGAAAATAAATTCGTCAGGAGAGACAGTTCAGTAATTCAATTTGTTTTTTGCTGTCTTAATGAAGACTTTGGATAAATCTAGCGGAGTCAGGAACTTCGGTTAAGTAAATATGCGGCCAGCGGCCTTAAGGCACCAAGTCGGACACGTCAGATTCGTTGCCGTCGGAATCATCGCCCTGTGCCGTGATCGATGCGGGCATCTCGCAACCAAAGTACGCATTGTTGTTGGCACAGAAGAGGATCAGATGACGCCAGCAATCATCGACGGCGAGCAGCTTGGGATTGCCAAAGATGACCATCAGGCAGCGGGCACGGGAAATAGCCACATTCATGCGCTTGTTGCAGCGCACAAAACCCAAACTTAGGCGAGCATCGGCGCGCAGATTGGACTCCGAGGAGCGAACCGTTGAGATGAGCATGATGTCACGTTCCTAAGACCAAGAAAGGAAGATTCAATTAAAGATAAGTTGGAGCACTTAAATAGAAGCAAGTCCTTACCTGACCCTGAAACTCCTCGACAGAGCCAATCTTGGGCATGGTCAAATCCGCAGCGATAAACATGGTCCGCAGCGTCTTCACCTGTTTCGCATAGGGCGTCAGTATGCCGATTTGTTCGTGGTGCACGTTGCGGCGATACAAGAGTATGGTCAATAGAAAGACCTCGCGAGCCTCGGCGGGATTGTACCAGGATGGCGAATCGAAATCCTGCAAGTTTTCACCCATGATGCCGTGAAAGAAGGTGCCGTGAGTGCGCGGCCTGTCCTGGTGAGCTTCAAAAATCTCCTGCAGCTCGGCTAGAAAGCGCACCTCCCGCGAGTCCTTATCCGAGACCATGGAGATGAGCTCATTGTCATAAAAGAGTTTGCTGTAGACATTCATGATCGAGGGCAGCGCCCGATAGTTGTACAACAGTTTAGTCAGCACACTGGGATTATAGCCAGAGCTCTTGGGAAAGCGTTGCATGTCCCGGCGATACGGCGAAGTCTCCAGCAAGCGCTCCAGATAGGACATGCCCAGGCCCAGCTCGTTCGCATAGCGACTGGTAACAATCGCCTGCAGCTGGTGAGGATCACCGGCGAGCACCACTTGGCTGCGTTTCCGCGCCAAAAGCACAATCGGCACCATCGTCTCTGGTTCCGTGCATTGGCCGGCCTCGTCGATGAGCACGTGGGTAAAGTGTTCAGGTAGAAAGTCCATTTGGATAAAGTTGCCCAGCGTGGTGCAGGTGCTGATAGTGATGCGATGCTTGCCCAGATACTTGGCCTGGCAGCGCAGCTTAAGACCCGATTCGGTGATAATCATCTAAACCAAAATATGTTAATTTCCTTTGCAATTGGAATTGGGATAATTAAAGCAAACTCACGCTGTCATGGTCGGAATCGACGGTGCCAATGTCGACGGTGGCACAGTAGCTCGCCAGCTCCGGTGGCACAAGATCCTTCTCCACCTGGTTTTGCGAAACGAGACGTATAAATTCGCCATGGTTGAGCGCTTTGCTAGCAATGATCCGCTTGGTAATCAGATCTGCAGAACTATTCGATGGCGTGCCCACCAGGAGGCGAGAGCCTGGCACATGGCGCACCAACTGCAGAATGGTCTCCACCAGAGTCACAGTTTTGCCGGTGCCCGGCGGCCCAAAGATCACGTACGGCATATTCTCCGTTTCGCCGCGCAGCACGTTGTAAACGGCACGCTTTTGGATGCAGTTCAGGCCCTCGTTGAACCAGCTCAGCTTGTCGTCATACAGATACATGTTGTCCTCCTTGAACTCGACCTCCAACTGAACATGATCGCGCTTGGCCACCTTGCTGGGAAATAGAAAATTCTCGCCCATATGGCCGCCAATGCGCGACGTGGCATGGTGCTGTTTGCGGAAGGCAAATCTCGAGAAGTGGAACTCCAGGCGATAATCCTCGCCATTGTATTTCTGCTGAAAGTTGGCATTGAACTTGAGATGGACACGATTGAAGAACACCTTGTGGACGACGCCCTGAAACAGTTTGTTCTCCT